CCACCCGTCGAAACACACACTGGACACACACACACACACACAGCACGCACGGCACAGCTCGCGAAGTTGCGCCGGAACCCTTTTCCTCTCGGCTGAGTGCTCAGTGATCGTGTGAGATGCAAGGTAGCGGTGGGGAAAGGGAAAAATGAGGAGACGGCAGATACAGGACCCCCGAAAGTTATGTATAGGTTGTATCTCTCACGACGGAATACCCGGTAGGATGGGACAGGAGGGGTGGAGGTCGAGGAGGATTAGGATTGGATTGGATTGGATTTGGAGACGCAGTGAGGATATGTGCTGGGATATGTCTCTGAATGGGTGTGTATGAAAATTCTCGGGAAATGGGGCGAAGGCGAAAATGCGGAAGAGCAATAACAGGCGAGCTGCCGCTGAAAGATGGTCCCGATTCCCGAGAGCTTCGTTTCCCCAAAGATCCAAAGGGTCTTGCGGAGGAGTGAGCGTGAAACTAACTACTGCGCAATGCCTAGGACCGCGGATGTGGGAGTGAAGGTGTGGTGTATGGCGTATGGCGTGTGGTGAGTGAGAGTGAGAGTGAATGGAGGAGTGAGAGTATGTGTGTGTGTGTATGTGTGTGTGCAGTGCAGGAAGAGATGTGCAGGATTGCGAGTGGGAGGGGTGCATTCGACCAGATACGATTCGATACACAAGACGGATGGAACACCCGGGGTGGTCGTCGACGATCGACAAGAGGAGAAAATGTGGATAAGATTATACATTAAAAGAAATGGGGTTTGCAAATAGGGTAAGAGGCGACGGCGGCGTCCGCGGCGACAATTGCAACGGATGGTAGAAGCGAAGCAGCGGGATGAACAAGAAACGTAAAACACTTCTCTGTGTGCGTACTCTCAGTATCTCTTCTCTCACTTTGACTCTGAAGTGTCAAGTGTGCTGCTGCCTTTTGGCTTCACTCGTCCAAAATTTTGTCTTTTGCCGCTGCTATGCTCGCTCACTTGTTGCACCTGATGTTTGTCGCTTGACTCTCGGGTTGTCTTCCGGAACGACACATTGACATTCAACTCGAGTCAGGCAAGCCGCAAAAAAGGGCAAAAATTGGGTAGCCAAGGGGGCAAAAGTGAACGGCAGTTACGGACGAGAGCGTTTGCAGAAGTGTATGATGAACGTAACCGACAAGCAAACATCAAAACTCACCTTCAAACGCTGCCTGGACGCTTCTCTTAAGCGTGCCCGTCCGCACCGAGCCAGGGCCCGATGCGACGGATGGCGGGTTTGTCAGACTCATCATCCGCTGGGGTGGTGGTTCGCTGCTGACTTTAATGTCCGTATCGGAGTTGCAAATTCGAGGTTCCAATGTATCCGATTAGGTATCCTCCTCTCGAAATAACCCCCGTTAATTCGTGGAGTCTTTTTTTCTTTCAAAAAGTGCCTTGCGGTTTCGTGCCTTGCTTGGCTCAAGTCGGGACTTTCAATGCGACAACCGTCAATTGAGGCTGGCCTCTCTCTGCCAGATTACCTCACAGTGACAATAGTCTGCCCCAGCCTGTGAGACTGAACCGCAACTGCCCTATCCCAGGAACCAGAACTTTGCTTTCGTTTGTCCCAAGGAAATCTCCGCCGAAACGTGGCGAAAATGGAGCATGCACACTTGTCAGTGGATATTGTTCTGGCGAAAGTCTGAATCTGGGTTAGGAAAGGGAAACCGTAGCTCCGGCTTTGGGTCTCCAAATAAGTCAAGGTTGTGTTGGCGGCGGCGCGGGCAGGGTCAGGTCAGTGATCCAACAGTGAAAAAGATGTCGAGTCCGCACTCCGTCAATAAAGTCAGCTCCAGCTCAGGGACAGGCGTCGGCGCCAGACCAGCCAGAGAGAGACTCGTGCGCGGCGCAAGAGTGGATGGATGGCGCAAGATCCCAATCCCGCAAAGGTGTCAAAGGTGTGCTCGCGTATGCGTCTGCGCGTAAGTGTGGTGTGTTTGTGTGCTATGGTTATCTCAAAGTAGCGAAGGTCCTGTGCCGCAGGAGACGGGTGTAGTGCCCCGAAACTAACGGCCCCGCGCTGAGCACGACAAAAAGGAATATGTCAAACCCCAAATGGAGTCGTGGGCGAGCTTATCCTGAACGACGTTGTCTAGGTAGGGGTTGCCGATGAAGGCGCGAACCTGCGTACGCGCGCGGGGGTCAACGATTCTTTGGGCGTGGAAGTCCCGTCCCCTCTCAGATTCGGAGATCGGGTGTGCGTAGATGCGCCCACGCGGCGGACTCTCTCGCCGCTGACTTGAGCAAGTGGGCTGGCTGGGATCCTCCAAGATGCTTCGCGGATCCTTTCGCGAGTTGCCGAAGTGAAAAGACCAATGCGACATGCGCGACTGGGTCAATATCAGTCCCCTTTGAACGGCGATGCGCGCCCGCCCTGGTGGCCAGGTAAGTGAGTGTACGCGATGCGATGATCGGCGTCGCGTGTCGGGCACGAGTCGCAAAGTCTCTGGATTCTGTGGTGTTTACTGTGTGCGATCACAAGCGATGACGATTTGAAGTGCGGAGAAAACCCCCCCTGGGCCGAAAGTGCCGCAAGGTTGAGGAGAAGTAGAACTGGTAATAGATCACGGAAAGGGGGCCCAAGGACGTGCGAACCGGCGGATGAAGGATGATTGATTGAGTGCAAGCGAGTGAGAGGTCGAAGTTCCAGGCGAGAGCAAGGAGTGAGTTGAAGTGACGTTTCACCGGCAAGCAACAGACGAGGCGGCGTGGCTTCCCATCGACGTGGGCATAGAGGTAGGCACATCGCTCTCTCTGATAGCGGGAAGCCGCTGCCTGGTTGCACAGTGTTGACATCGTGTTATCTTGCACCGTGTTGGTCTCACAATTCATCAATGGAAGCTCAGGCACAGAGAGACGATAACTACTTGTCCAAAACACTTACCATAACAACCCTCAAACATAGCTATCCCTTGATCAGACAAGAACTTCTGTACCTCATGCAAGTGTCATAATAGAGTTCATCAACTTTTTCGTTAGAAAACAAAACGAGGCTCTAAAACCTGCCACATGCATGCTTCGTCTACTACCAACGAGACCAAAGTAAGACGGCCATCACATTACCTTGACAGACCATCCACCTATCGCGGGCCGAGCTTCTCAAGCACACGCGGTCCCTGTTCATCCCACTCCTCCTTGGTCACCCACATGCCCTCCTTGTCTGCCATAATGTTGGCCAATACCGCACCACCAAGGAAGACCATGTGTCTCCGGCGAGGTGGGTCTTCTATCCGGACCTTGAACTTGTTTAATCTCTCCGGGTTACCGCCAAGCACCCGCGTCAGCCACAGCTGCTTCAACTCCTTCTCCAGACGTGACGGGAGACCAGGGTACATGCTGCTGCCGCCCGACAGCACAATGGCCTTGTACAGCGATGATCTCACGTCCACATCGGCCGCCTGAATCGTGTTGAACAGGAACTCGGCAATACCGGGTTGTTCGCAGTCCACCAGGTGAGGCTGGAACATGCACTCCGGCGCCTCGAATCGCTCGCTGCCCACTCTAATCACACGGCCGTCGGGCAGCGTGTAGCTCTCCACCAGCACCGTTGTGTCCTCACTCAAGCGCTTGTCCAGCTCCAGGTCGTACGAGACGTAGCAGAGCTTCTCCTTGATCTGACGGACAGTCTCGAAATCGGCCGTTCGGTTGAGCGCGTAGCCGCGGCGCAAGAGGAGCGCAATGAGGTTGCGCGTGACGTCTCGGCCCGCGACATCCAGTCTGCGGGTAAGGTGGTTCAGGACGACCGACTCGTAAACGGGCACGATGTGGGTCACGCCGTCTCCCGAGTCGACGACAACACCGGAGCTAAGACCTGTAGGGAGCATCCAAGGTCAGCCTCGTTGGATATTCTCGCGCTCTCTCTACCCAATCCAAGTCGATCGTAGCTAGTGTGGTCAACATACCTTGGGCGTACAGGGCCAATACGGCCTGGATGGCAACGTAGACGCCGCCGAATCCGTAGCGGTCAAACATGACCTCGCACATCTGCTCACGGTTCCGCAGCGGGTTCATCGGGGGCTCGGTCAACAAGATCTTGCGGCCGCGCGGGTCGACCTTCATCTTTTCGAAAAAGGTGTAATCCCAGAGATGCTGCATATCATCCCACTTCTTGACGATACCGTTTTCCATGGGGTAGCTGATCTGAAGCATCGTCCGGGCGGCGGCGGCTTCGTCACCGCACATGATATCCTTGATAACCAAGTCATTGTCCTCGCCCTTCTCTTCGGTTCTCAGGATCGGTCGGCCGACAATGGATGGGTATTGGAATTCGGGGAAGTTCTGCGCTGCGTAGCCGACCTTGAGGAAACCTGTTCCTCCGTCGAGGACTGTGGATCTTGCGTCAGCCACCTCCCGAACAGAGAGCATCAACCACTGGGGAGAAAGCGGTCACAGGCATTGCTATGCAGCCGTAGCTGCTGTATTAGGGGCATTGCGTCTTACCGATGGGGGCCTCGGCTGCCATTGTGAAAGCAGAAGCTGCAGGCTTTCGAGATTGGAGCTTCTTTCGATTTTGGGGAGAGGTGAGGTGAGGTGAGGTGTGGTTGGGAGAGCGTTCGGGAAGCTGTTACGTCTGTGTCGTCGATAGTGGGGTTGGGCCAAGTCCACTGCCTCCCAGCTGTCCTGCCACTGGATCGTCAGCCAGGTCGTGGCTGAGTACGTAGTGTGTGTCACGTGATACCCCGCAGCCAGCGGTCGTCACGGTCCACGACAGTGGACTCCAGTGCACTGTCACTGTCACCAAAAGGTGCTGGAGGAGGAGCCGTAGTCGGCTCATTCGGTGCACTGGAACCCAGCGTCACCGGACCGGCAGCCCCACTTCGACGGGAGAATCTCCACTCGTTGAAGGCCGCTGGTCGGCGGGACCATGATAATTCACGCGCTTGAGGAGTGAGTAGCACAGTCTGTTTGGTGTTCATTCTCACAAAGTGTTGACCATCTTGTAAGGAACAACCTCTCTAGTCAAATTTCTTGCACAGTAATAAGGCAATCATGGCAACCCGTCTCCTTCGTCGGAATATCAAGATCCTTGTGATCAACGCCAACTCGTCGGAGGACATGACGAGGGGTATGGAGAAAGCCATACAAGCAATGCCCTTGCACGATGTGAGTCAAGATGAACCAACAGGCTGGACACGGCGGCCGAGTCCCAACTACAAGTGATCAAGGGCTGACTTCCCTCTTTCTGTGTTAGTCGCTAGAAATTCACACCTACACAGCACCACCTGCCAGTCCAGCAAGCATCAACGATGATGCCGACATTAAACTGAGTACCGAGGTCGTCATGAACGATCTCGCCAAGAGCGGCAAGCTCCAGGACTACGACGGCGTACTTGTCGCATGCTACAGCGTCCACACCTTGGTTGAGCAGCTTTCTCAGCAGTTCCACTCAACTCTCGCCGTCACCGGTATCTTCGAGACCAGCATCCTGACTGCGACCTCACTCTTGCCTCACAGCTCTGATCCTTCGCTCGCATCCAAATGGGGTGTTGTCACGACTGGCGAGTTCTGGGAGAAGCACCTCAGCCAAGGCGTGAAGGGCTACCTGGGTCAGTCTGAGCAATCAGAGAATGTCAAGTTCGGGGGCGTTGCGTCAACCGGCTTGACAGCTGGAGACTTTCACCACGTCAGCCCGGCGGAAGTCAGGGTTAAACTGGAGCAAGCTACCAAGAAGCTGCTCAGTAGCGGAGATGTGCGCTGTGTGGTTATGGGATGTGCCGGTATGGCCGGGCTCGAGGAGATTATTCGCAGCTCAGCCAACGACGTCTATGGTCCAGAGAAGGGCAGCCAAGTCTTCATCGTGGATGGTGTCAAAGCTGGTATCTTGCAGCTCGAGCAAACAGTCAGAAGCAGACGCCTGTTCCAAAGCTAGTTGATCTATTAATAATACCCATGCTATTGACACCCATTTCCAAACGCCGTACCTTTTACCGCTCTATTCAAACCAATGCAAAACTACAATAGTCACATCAATATCTTAGTCGAGCCGTCTAGTGCGTCCCCAAACTTCGTCTGCGTCCTTCTTGCCCTTGGTTTCAGGCACCTTGACCGAAACAAACAGGGCAAATAGTGCAGCGAAGCCGGCGAAGAGGAAGTACACCCAGCCAGCTCCTCCGAGCCAATTGTTGAAGGCATTATTTACGATCGGGAAGAACTGAGCAACCAGGAAAGTTGCGAGGTAGTTGGATCCCAGCGACCAAGACTGGACGGCGCCAACAGCCTCTTGTCCAACCATTTCGGATGCGAGGATGAAAGGAACTGGCCCCAGGCCAACGGCGAAAAATGCCACAAACGACACGACTGACACTGCCGACAGGATCTTGACCCCGAATTGAATAGAAAGCGCAAGAACCAGCGAGCTGACTCCCTGTCCAATGATGGAGATCAGGATGCACGTCTTTCTTCCGAGCTTGTCCGGCAGCGGAGAGCATGCCGCAGTGGTAATGAGATTGATGACAGAAATCAGAATTGTCAGCAGGGCGGAGCTGACGGGGAGTAAGTCGTTCAAGAGGGATACCGAGTACATGATGACAGAGTTGATGCCACACAGCTGCTGGGCAAACATGATGCCGATAATAGCAGCGATGGCCGGTCGGTGAAGCGGATCTTTAATCACGTCAAAGAATCCAAGATGGACAGGCGAGGTGTGCTTGGGAAGGCCAGGAGACACTGGCGGCACGTCGTCGCTCTGGGCCAAGAGACCCTCTTGCTCAGCGTTCACCTCCCCATCCCAGCTCTCGACTTCCTCTCTGATGTCGAAGTCCTTGCCACGGATCCGCTGCAGAGTACGGCGAGCCTTCGGGACGTCGCCGTTGGCAGCCAGCCACGCTGGGCTCTCAGGAATCAACATGAGGCCGGAAGCCTGCGCCAACGCAATGAAGACGCCAGCAGCCAGGATCCAGCGCCAAGCCTTGCCGTAGCTCAGGAAGAAGCCCAGAGTCTGGACGGCAAGAATGCCGACGTTGATGGAGACCTGAGTCATGGCACCAAAAAGACCACGCTCCTTTGGCGGCGCGATTTCACTGATGTACAGCGGAACGATGACGGTTGACGCGCCAGCCGCCATACCTGTGAAGAATCGGCCGATTGCCAGAGCGGCAGCACCGCCAGCGAGTGTCTCGATGATGGCACCGATGATGTATAGAATGGACGTGACTCGCATAGCAGGACGTCGGCCGCGCTTCGAAGACAAGGGGCCGGCACAAAGAGCGCCTAGCAGGCCACCGACAGTAAAGATGGAGGAGACGGTCGCGAAGACGGCGTCGGACATGGGAATACACTCGGGGAGCCAGGGCTCGGGGTCGGGCGCCTTGGAGTGCACCCATGTGAGCTTCACTCCCTTGGCCGCAATTGACTTCTTTCGACAGGTAAGGACATCTTGAGGGGCGTTGAGCTCGGCCTGAAAGAGAGGCACAGTTTGTTAGAAAGTCATGTTCCGTGGGGATTGGTTAAGCAAATCGATGTTGGAGCGGAATGATGCAATGACATACAAGGTGGAAGCCGAACTGCAGGGGGCCCAAAGTCGAGACAGAAATTAAGACAAGCAAGTATAGGCTGACATCGTGCATGCACTGTCGAAGACCCGAAGGAGCCATGTTAGCGAACGACGCTGGATGCTGCGAGTGCTGCGAGTGTGTATGTGTCGTCTAAAGTGAGCTCGGGATTGTGTGAAGAGAGACGTTCGTGTTTGGGGCAAGTTAGATCGGTAGACAACAAGGAACCTGCCTCGCTCGAGAGGGGGGCAGCCGGGACGACAAAGCGAAGTTGGGAAAGCTGGGGAAGTCGCCGGTGGTCATGGGGAAGCTGCCCACATGCCACAGCTGCCACAGCTGCCACACGTCGCTGTTACGCATTTCAGCGCCGCTAGCTAGCAGCCGCAGTCCCTGGCACGCCGAGCTGTTCCAGGTTCCGCGAGCGGGCCGGGACCCGGTGACTAAGGTACATCTCCTAGCGCTGTTATTCGCTGCACTCTCAGGTACATGATCATTCACCACATAAAGTTGTGCCTCGTGGTTGATGAGTACCAATGAAGCATTTAATGCCAACGTTGGAGGCATCAGGTGGTGTTCATCAGCCTCTTTGCCAATGAAGTAGTGATATTACTATATTCTAATTCTTAAAGAATACCATCCAGCTTGTCCAGTACGATTTACGATCTGGTGCGCATTAGTCTGTCGGCATTTAATATTTCCTTATCATAATCTTCACAATTTGGATTTGGAAACTGGTGAATAAATAAGTTCAAAATCAACTGTGAGTTGTCCAACACTCAAAATTCACTGCATCTTACCCAGTGATCTCTTGACAGCGACCTCTAAGCTCTCAACGTCTTTAGGTCCGAGCCCGATCCTTTCGTTGTCCGTCTTCTCGTACAAGGTGCCACCCTCAGCCCAGATGCGTCGCAAGGTGAAAATGGTTGCGTAAGGGATGCCCTCGGCCCATGCCTTCTCCTCAGCTTTCTTTAAGGTCTCTAGCGACGAGTAGACGATTTCCCACTTCTCTCCAGTCTGCTTCTCATACTCGGCCACAATTTCCTTGCCGGTCGCGACGAAGGACTGAACTTTGAGAGCTCGGTTGAAGGATGCCTCTGGGTGACGAAGCGATGCCACCAATGTTGTGCCGACGCTTTACATTCAAGTCAGTACTGGGGGACACGGGTAAGCGTGTGGAATTGGAAACGTACTCTTTCATGGTGATAAGACCAGTCTTTCCTTCGCCGTCTTCAATCAGGACCGCCTTACGGGCAGCTGTATCAAACCCGCCAGCCTCTTGCGCGATTGACGGTAACGTCAGGAACATGTCGACATAAGGGCCCGTTACCAGGTACGTGTACTTGAGTCTCTGGACGTTCTCGCGGATGTACTTGCGAACCTTGAGCTTGGCCTGGTGAGGCTTCTCATTGGGGCTCTTGGGACCGTATTCGATATCCGTACCGTACTCGGAGGGGAAGAACCACTTGACAGAGTCGGTCTCCTCGGCCAATTTGATGAGATCGATTTGCTTCTCAATCACATTCCTACCGAGGGCGGATATGACCGTATCGGCATTCTTGTAGGCCGCTCTGATTTGCTCCGTGTCGTCGACATCGCCGGCGATGACCTTCAGTCCCTTCTTCTTCCAGCCATTGAGCAAGTCTGCTTTCCTCTCTACTGTGGTTGGCGATGTGAAGATGGTGATTTGGTCAAAAGAGGGGCTGGCATCCAACAATGCCGCTGTGATGAAAACACCAATCTGGCCAGTGGCGCCGAACACGAGAATCTTGGATGCTTTGAAGGTAGCCATGATGTCGTGTTGTTAATATTACGATTTATCAGCGTCGAAGATGTATGTTTGTTGGGCAGGTTCTCTACATTCTTGAAATAGAGTGCCTGTGGCCGGATGCCCGGTTCTTATAGCTTCAAGTGTATTACAAAACACAGAGCGATAACGGTTCAATGGCTCACCCCGCTGAAACTACTAGACACATGCAAGCTGTGCTTCGACCCCTCGAGTCTGACGCCATCTCAAGGTGCGCTTATGAGATGGAGGGGCATTGGGGGGAGCAATGAGGGGAATGGATGCGAGAACCGTCGAGCCCCACGCCGTTCATCTCGCCCGTTCACACTCTCCAAAGGAGGAGACAAGCTGTGAAGAAGCCGAAAGTAAGCGGCCTTTTGGGCCGGGCTTCTCCACCACAAGCAACCATATTGTATCTCTAACCTCCGGTAGAATGAAACTCTGTCTCTGGTGCTCCCGGATTTAAATGGAGGCGAAATGTTCGGATGAGGCACGCCATCGAAGGCCAGCGAGATTCCCGACCCCGACCGGGCCGGGTACGTACCTACTCCCTTAAGCCCCTCCACTTTATCCCTGTCGGCACGGTGTTTTCTGAGAGGACAACGGACCCACGCGCGGGAGACGGGCGACCCCACCACCGATCGGTGAAGTTTCCCTGGAAATTTTTTTGAAGTTCAACTTTTTTTTTTTTTTTTTTGGTTCGACAGTCGGGAACGCAGCTACCTCGCGACCCGCCGGGCGAGATTCGACGACGACAACACCCCTAGTCACGAACTACCGAGCATCCCTCCAAACCGTAAATATGGCGTCCACCGACTCACCAGCGATCAATGGGCACAAGTCCGACAAGAGGAGCAAAAAGGACAAGAAGGAGAAGAAGCGCCTGCGCGAGGAGGGAGACGATGCCGCCGAAGAGCGCAAGCACAAGCGCACAAAAAGCCTCGGTGTAGCCAAGAACGACGTCGATGACGAAGAAGAGGAATCTCCTCAGGCTTCCCAGGACCTCTCAATGGCCGCCGTTGCGACGAGCGACACCAATGGCGAGCCATCATCCGCAAAGAAGAAGTCCAAGAAGGACAAGCACAGAAAGTCAGTAGGCGAGTCCGCCGAACAAGACGGCTCGGACGCCGAGCGCAAGGAGAAGAAGGACAAAAAGAAGAAGCGCAAGTCAGAACAAAAGGAGTCAGCGGAAGCAGTTGAAGATTCCGCAGAGCCGCCAGCGAGCGGAAAGAAGGAAAAGAAGAGCAAGAAAGCAGCGTCCCCCGAACCCGTCGCCGACGCAGACGCCGACGCCATGGACGTCGACTCCCCCGCAAAGACGAAAGCAACAGGCCGAGTCCACCAACCCCCCGACGCGCCCTCCAAGCCCCAGTTCCCCTTTTACACCCAGACCGTCTCGCTATACCTCCCCATCTACCCCATAGGCTGGGACACGCCCTGCACCGCCGCCGCGACCCAACACCTCGAGCCCCTCGTGAACCGCTACGTCCCGGATCTCAAGGGCGTCCTCCTCGCCTTCCGTAACGTCGCCGTCTCGGAGCAGCCCGGCCGCCGCTTTGCCGCCAAGAGCGACTCAGAGCACTGTGATCTCTCCTCCGTCGACGAGTACGCCGTCGGCTTCGGCTACGTGACCGTTGATGTCGACCTCTTTGTCCCTCGCCGCGGTGCCTGGATGGAAGGCAGCATCAACCTCGAGAATGAGGGGCACGTCGGCGTCGTCTGCTGGGGCAAGTTCAACGCCAGCATCGAGTCTAGCCGTCTCCCCCCCGAATGGCGCTGGGTCCACGCCGGCTCCGCCGAGGCTGCCTCCTACGTCGCCGACCCCTTTGACGTCGAGAACACCGACGCCGCTGCCGCCGAGGACGAGCACGGCGCCGTGCGCCAGATCCACACCACTGGCTTCTGGGTCGACGACGCCGGGGACAAGGTCAAGGGCCGCGTGCGCTTCCGCATCAAGGCGTTTGACGTCGGCGTCAGCGGCGACCACGGGTACCTCAGCCTGGAGGGCACGATGCTCGACGCCGCGGGCGAGAAGGCGGCGATCCAGCGCGACGCAGAGCAGGAGCGTAGACGCAGGGCCGGTAAGAGCGGCGGAATCCTCTCCAAGGAAAGGCGCGCCATGCCCGAGTTCAGCGTCACCAAGTTTGGCGAGGTCGAGGATGAGGAGGACAAGGCGTTGAGAAACGATGTTTGGAAGACGACGGAACCCGTGACGGATAACGAGGCTGGTGAAGGTGGTGAAAAGGAGGCGTTTACGGGCATTTCGGCGGAGGAGGCATAAGAAGGAGGGGCTTTGTGATAGATAAGCTTTGCTCTCTGTGTCTTGTGATTCCCCGTGGGTCGACTTTTCGGGCGTTTTGAGGGTCAGGGAAAATTTGACAATGATACAATACTTTGCATATACTTCAGGACCGCGAGGTACTTGCTGCGACAGTTGTTTGGCCATGAACTAGCACAAGTAGTGTAGTGAAAATAAGTTGTGAGGCAATGGGATTCATTTGGAATGCTAGCCGTTGGTCTACCGAAGTTGAGGAAAACTTGGCCTTGAACTACATGCCTGGCTCAGCGACATATCACCATACCTTGTCCTTTCCACAGTCCCTGAATATGTCTGGCTTCAAGCGTTAAAGCTTGGCCCGAAGTCGAACTCCCTTCCCAAGCAAGACAAGTAGTCATTTCCAAGTCATCCCCAGCCGCTCGAGGAAGGAGAAGAGAGACCCCTTGGGAACGTATCCGGCATATCGCGCCTGCCACCAGGAGGCAAAGGTATCTATATTGATACTCATAAGAACCTGATCAAAGAAAACAAATTAATGGCATGCAGTGACAAGACTTACCGGCAATGGGTCCAAATTCGCCAAAGCCAAGGGCCTCAATAACCCAAGGGGCAACGATAACCAACACGCCAATAGCGATGATGGTAACAAAGACGGGATGCTCCTTGGCAAACTCGAACACACTGTCAGCGGCTTCGGTTGACTTGTCCACCGTCTCCCGCACGATTTGGCCGATGGTGTTGCGGTGGCGGACGAGGCCTTCGACGCCGGAGAGGATGTACTTGGCGAGCTCTTCGGTCCACGAGTTGGCCGTGACGATGTTTCTGAGATGGCGCTCGAGGTCTTTGCCTCCCTTTTCGGCGGTGCGAAGGATGTCAATGAATTCGGAAGCGGCGTCCTTGGCAGAGCGAAGGGGTTGGTCTTTGACGATACTTGTCTGCTTCTCGGACGTGATTGCCTTCGGGCCCGGCTGGAACTGTGGGAGGCAATGGGCGAGGGGGTTGCAGCTGTCCTTCTTGTCGTACTCCATCCCGGTGCCTTTTGTGGATGTAATCGTTTTGAGAAGGTGGAATTTGCGATTTCAGAGCCAAAAAGATCGTTGTGTGTGCGAGAGACGAAAAGATTCGGTTTTCCTCCCTCAGAGGTCGTGAGATGGCCGAGAGAGATGGCCTCGCCGCTGTTACTGCCTTTTCACCCACGGATGAACAGGGCAAGACATGTGCTCAACTCAACCTCACCTCGCCCCGCGCCGCCTCATGGTTGGCCTCCCACATGGAGTCCGCCCTGCTCATTCGTCCACATGCCGCCGGTTGGTTCAGCGCATCTCACCTGCACAATTGTTGGACCCGAAAACACATGAACCAACAGCTCGTGTTACAAGCAATCCCGAATCAAAAAGTTACCTGTACTCGAAAGAGCAGCTCATTTCCATCTCTTTCCGTTGCATCAATTCATTTTATCCTTCAACTTATGGATTAGTCGGAATCAGGTCGGCAGGTTGAACCCGATTCGCGATGCTTTGCTCCCACTAATACACGAGACTGCACATGCGCACCACTACGATTCGATCAAATGCATATTTGATCAATGCATCAGAGAGGACGATACGGACAGAAAGCAACACGATTGATCAACTAGCGCTCTGGAGACACCTGATAGAGCTCAAGCTTCGCATGGAATCAGGTGGGCAACACTCCTAGAGTCAGAGAGAGAGAAAACATAGATTTCTTCAACTCGTGTTGTATCACGCCTTCTACGGCCCTTGAATACGACTAGGCAGACCATAGAGGCCTTAGATTGTGGCCAGAGTGCCTCTCCCATGATTCAAATTCAAGTCATTCCAAGCCACTGCAGGATACAAAACAGAGAGCCCGTCGGAACGGCCGCACCTATTGGCGCCTGCCACCCTGCTGCGAAAGAACCTTGAGTGGGCACTGCGTTAGATTTGATCTTAAGGTAGAGAAGAAGGAGGAGTAATCTGCTGAAAACCTCACCAGCAAAAGGTCCAAGTTGTCCAAAACTGAGGGCTTGCAGCACCCGGGGGGAGACCGCGGCCAACACCACTCCGCCGACAACGACAGCGACGAGGTACGGGTGCTCCTTGTCGACTCCGAGCACGATCCTGCCAATTTTGATTGCTTCGTACCAGGCCTCTTTCAAGGACTCAGCAACGGCCTCACGCAGACGCACAAAGACTTTGACGCTGCGGCGGATGTAGTCGGTGATCTTCTTGGTCCGGGGTTCGGCCGTCACGAGATCTACGTGGCGGTGGTCGAATTTTCTGTCTCCTTTCTCCGCAAGACGAAACATGTCGATGAAATTGGGAGCTGAAATTGTATCTCTTCCTGGTCCTATCTTGATTGTTGTCATTGCAAGAACGTCGGATTGCGCGTACGTTTGGGTTATCAAGAATGAGTTACAACTATCTCGACTGCTTTTTCTTGACATGCTTGAAATATATTGAAGAGGCAATTTATGATGTATTGTATTTCTCTCCAGCAAGCAAGCGAAACTCATCTTCGAACGTTTAGCTAGAGTTCAATCTCTGGCAGTTGATGGTAGGTCTCCAGTAGGCCTCCGAAGCATTTTCTTTGAATCTCTGGCCATCAGAGGCTAAGTAACTCTCAGAGGTCTGGACTCTCATGTTTCAACTTGGAGCTTGAATTGGAGGCAATATTGAGCCACCAGTATGCCTTCCCTATCTTGTTCTTACTTCCGTTAAATCACATTTGCACAATCGATCGTCCAGGAGGGAGGACTGATATCTTTGATCATCCTTGCTTTGCTCCCGTTCCTTGCAAGCACAGCCCAAAAACCCCAACACCACTAACACAAAACGCGGTCAGCGGTCAGGTCCATCCGGACACCAGCCAGTCAACAAAATGGTCATATCCGTGTCAAAAACTCGCCAGCGAACAGTTGTGAGTCTATCTGACTTAGTCAAAAGTTTTTATCGACAAAAACAAAAGAATTGGGCCCTAACCAGGATTCGAACCTGGGACCTCTCCCAGATGTGTCGTGAAGACCCTAAGGGAGAATCATACCGCTAGACCATCAGGGCTGATACGATCATTGGATGTTGCAAAAATGTGCGAGCTCATTGTCCTTCAATCTTTGGCCGTCCGCGATCATGCAGGCTTTGCCGCTGAGCGAAAAACATCCATCTCAAATCCCGCAAATAAAAGTCGCAAGCTTTTGACGCTCCTGACAACAAGTGCAAGTATACGCTTACGCACATATGACGAGATGGCGATCTTTACAATTCTTCTGTCGTATAGGATACCTCGTAATTAGTTGAGCTTAGCTGGCCTTTCTCTCGCGAATCGTCTCATTCTTCAGCTCCCAATACCTCAATCTTTTCGATAGGTTCGAGAATTGTTTTCCGAACAGACTGCCAGAGCCGTATACCTATCACCCTTCGTCAACGGCCGTTGCACCGCCAAGCTGGCCAAGCTAGACCCGCCGCAATGGTAATCTCCTCTTGGCTCAGGGTCCCCCTTGACAAGTTCACGTCGCTTACCGCAGCTACGAACGTCGGGATTCGAATCCTTCAGGCTACGCGAAGCCGAGGGTCTCATCTGCAGTCCTGCACAACGGCCTTGCCTCATACAGCGCTCGTATCTCCAACTTCTTCGTCTTACATTATCAACGTTTGGCAAGTATAATGTGCTTGATGAAGGACCTTCGATCATGCAAGCTCTGCGTCGTCTTGGGCTAAGCTGTGTCAGACTTTGCCGACTGGCAAAGAGCCGACCTTCGGTGCTATCCTGTTGCTCTCAACAACATCTTCGAGCTGTTCGTTTGCCCAACCCATATCTTGAATGACCCCGGTATTCCGAGTTAAGCCTTTCAGGTGTGGGATTTGAATTTTCACTAGCGTGAAGATTGCAATCGACGGACATGATCTCCGTGGCATGTTTCGACATGGTTACTGCGGATAGGCAGCTCCCGCTAACCCGCCTGTGCCACCTGCGGGGGGTAGTGGCACTATTCGCTCGCCCAACATGTTGTACCAATGGATATTAGAATAGCGACTGCAAGTGCAGACTTCTCAACATCTAAGGACTGCCGCCAACGGCACAAGTTCCCGCTGACACCCTTTACGCTACGTAGTTCTAGCCAGGTTCGTTGAATGTAACGGTAGAACCGCTGCTTAGGCTGAACGAATTCTCGCTGCCTAGTCTCTAGTTCATCTGCCCTTCATCTGGACCTTCTCTTCTACTCCTAGCCTACAATGCTCCCATGCCATATCTACGTCAAGTCCAACCTTGCTACACCATGGATCTATTTCTGTCCTTTCCATACGAGGCTCTTCAACTTCTCATACGTGTGGATCGTGGACCATTCACCGCCAGCCGTCTCCCGGCCCTACCCTTGAGACTCGGTGTTCGAGCCTATCAATAACGTCCCCGCTCAAGTCTAGAGCTTATGAGCTTATGCTCTGAGGCTCTTCATTAGGAAGAGCCCATCAAGTCTAGGCATCTTCCATAGGCATCCTGGTAAGCTTCATCCCTATGAGGCGATGGATGCGGCGGATCCCTGTGAAGTCTAGTCCCTTCCATCGCATCTGAGTTGTTGCCAGCTCCAATCATGTAAGAGGTCTTCCGACTTTCCCGAATAGAAGTACAACAGCGCACGCGCGATGTTGCGATGACCTCAAGCTAGACTAGGTTCTCTGAGAATCCCCGCCGTCCGTTAACATAGTCTCCATCAAACATTGTGGCTTCGCACAATCCTTCGTGGGTGCTTCGGAGCTGAGTTGATGGTCGACACCTTGTAAGCCCACCCGGTCTCCTGTCGTGATATCCACCCCGAGCTGAAGCTTGGTCTCTGTCATGATTGACAGTTAGAGAGGAGCCGAGGAACCCATACATTGGACAGCTGAGAACCATCCTTTGCCTTGCTCATAGTATCTTGCGTGGCTCTCCCCAGGAGGTCATCTCTGATTCCGGGTATATAAAGCCTACTGCCTTCCCGTTCAACTCAAACTCTTCTCACTACTCCTCACACAAGACAAACCATCTCAACAGGCCCTACCTCTCTACCATTCTCAAATAGACCATCACAACCGCCGACATGCGCGTCTCCTCTCTCCTCGCCCTCGTCTCGGCCGCCCTCGTGGCCGCCGCCCCCAGCCCCGTGCCCGAGGACGCCAACTCCTACGTCCTCGCTGGTCCCCTCCCGTACGAGGAGCTGAAGACCGAGGTCGCCAAGCTCAAGTCCGACGGCTCCAACGCCGCCCGCAGTCTCAACAAGCGCATCTGCGAGGGCGTCTACATGTGTGACGGACAGAACTTTAGCGGTTCCTGCTATTACGGCTGCTACCCCATCAGCGTCGGCATCTACCCTGACTCCTACTGGGTCTCTCGTATCAGCTCGGTAGGCCCTGACAGCGGCGGCTGGTGCGATTTCTACCAGTACGTAAACCCATTCTTCGTCTTCCTTGTTTGCCGTCTCTTGAATGTAATAAACTGACGATCCTGTAGAGCTGGCAGCGGCTGTGACGCCACCAAGGGCTCTCACCAAATCTTTAGATACCCCGGTGGCAACTTGGCTGGTGGTATTGACAACAACATGGGCTGCTTCTACTGCAACCCTAACTAGGCCTTCAGGCCATAAAAAGTTCGATATACCTACTTAGGAGTACAAATATCAAAAAGGCGGCCCACAGGTCTAAAGACCTACAACTTCTTTGTATATACTTATCTTCACAGGCTCGCAGTCTAGCCATACTGGATCAAAGGCTGGTTTTTAGGCTAGCCTCGAAACATATCAAGTAGTCTGCAATCAACTCAGAATTCTCCCAACTCAATGATAGTACTCAAGCGTCAAGTAGTCTTGACAATGGCAGGAATAGCTGCGCCTGGTTCGTGAAGGGGTCAGCGTAGTTCACCAGAGAGCCAAGTCAGCAAGCATCATGAAGTCTTTAGCCGTCTCAAACCCGGCCACTATCAGCCAAATGCAGGAGCAACTTCAAGTAAAACCTCTGTTCGCAAGCAAGTCTTTGTTCGAGGGATACCCCTAGTATTATGTGACCGGATAATCGCCTTGCGCCATGTAACCAGTAGCCCTAATCATTATTGCCAACTCCAACATCCCGTCATTGAGTCTGGGTCAAGTCCTTAATAACCTTCCGTCCTCTCAACACGTCCTTCTCATGGTACGGCTCCCTCGCCGTCTCAGCAATACCCTCCACAACCCACTGGTTAACAGCAGGATGCTCCAACAGCGTCTCCACATACTTCATCGCAGGTTCCGAAACCTTCAACCCAAAAGTCCGAATCCTCGTCGCAACAGGCGCAAAGAAGGCGTCCGCGGCGCTAAACTCCGCACCCGCGAGGTACGGCCCACCAAAGCGCGTCAGACCCTCGACCCAGAGCTCCTCAAGCCGATCAAGATCACGCTGCAACGCCGCATCAGGCGGCCCGCCGAGGTCGATGCGCAGCGCCACGTTCATGGAGCACTGGTCGCGGATGGCCTCGAAGCCGGTGTGCATCTCGGCGGCGGCGCTGCGGGCAAAGGCGCGGGCGACCTTGTCTTGCGGCCATGCGGCCGGGTGGTCTTCGGCGATGTACTCGACGATGGCCAGGGAGTCCCAGACGGTGGTGTCGCCGTCCTGGAGGGTGGGGACTTTGCCTGAGGGGGAGAAGCTGAGGAACGCGGGTTGGCGGAGGCCGGCGACGAAAGTCTGGAGGCGCTCTTCGAAGGGGACGTTGAGGGCTTTGAGGAGAACCCAGGGTCTCATAGACCAGCTAGAGTAGCGCTTGTTGGCGATGTAGAGGACGTAACCCATTGTGAGTGTCGAGGTAGGGGGATGTTTAGGAGGGTTTGCGACGACTCGAAATAATAAAAGGATATCGTTTGATAGAGGGTGAATACTAATCAGAGCCGGATGAGTATAACCGAAGCCTAGATGTGGTTCATATCTTTATATTGATGTTGACAACCTGACTTGACTCATCCAATGGCGCTTGTTTCTAGATATCTTGTCACGCCTTTCGATCGAGGCTGGTGAAGGTGGGGGTTGCCAAGCAGGGACAAACGATGAACACTAGTCCTATCGCTCACAGATTCAAGCTCACTTGATCCAATGCTTCGTTAATCGAGCTGCAAGCTCCGCAAGTTATGACGAATTGAGTTGGTATCACGGCTGGTCAAGCCGAAGAGGCAGGTTAAGACCGGCAAAATGTGGAGGCTGAGCCAGTGTGTGGGACGGATGTCAGTGGAAGGGCGTTGTGGAACGGGGTGGCTTGGTGCCAATAAGCTCTAACTTGATAACTAAACGCGGAGAGCCGCCCTAAGGCGTATAAGCTCTGCCACTTGGCGCTGAGCTAAAGTGACAGGCCAGGCCTGTGAGGGACTCCACCTGGTTGTCCGAGACAAATAGTGACTGTCTTCACTTACCAAAGATATGTCGAGCACGCACAGAAATTGGGACGGGTAAGTGATTTAAACCTGATGTTGCCGCAATGAGAAGCTGACCAGATTTTGTTAAGTATTGAAACTCGAGTGAAGCGACAAACGTTGGCTGGCATACCTCATGTACCAAGTACTTTACCTACCCAAGACTTGAATAAGTGCATAAAGTATCTTAGGCGAGAAAGAAGCGGTTCGTTGACAATGAGATGAGCCTCAAGTTGATTTTTATGTTTATTACGTACTGCATACATAATGGCAAATTCTCAGAACATTTGACTTTTATTCATCTGCCTCTGTTACAGGCTTTATTGGTTTCTAATATAGCTTGATGTTTAGGTCGGTATGAGGAATTAGAAGCCCCATGCCAGCGACAGCCTGCGGCTTATATCTAAGAAGTTCAACCCACACTTTACCAGCCGTCTATAGTTGTCTCAACAATCCCCACAGTCGCACCTGAAACTCAGCAGCTGAGACAGAAGTCACTCTCTTCAGCTTTATGTAGAACAAGCAAAGTCGAAAGACAGAGAGCTGCCGCGATAGTTGGAGCAACCATCCCCCAAGCGGAACGGCTGACCATCCACCAGCACGGGCGTGCAGGTCTGGACAGTAGTCTGCGACGTCGCGTCTACAATAGCAGTAACCTGTGTCGCCTGTCCTTCACTGTTGTCGTCGCTGCAAGCCAGCTCGAGGTTGCGGTACGTGACGCCCGTCTCGTCGCTCGTGATGTTGAAGGGGTTGCCACAGATGGGTCCCGACGTGTAAGTGCTCGCGGTGCGGACGGCGGTCCACGTAGCAGTACCCTTAATGGCGCCCGCCTTGACGCAAACGTCGTCGAGCTCTTGGATTGTGGTTGGTGTGTAGGGCGACCAGGCGACGAACATATTGGTATGAGGGAAGGAGAAGTGGCCCAGGTTGATCTGGGGGAGGCTGCAGTTTCCTGCTGACACGAGGGCCAAGGAAGAGGCGGCAATAATGGAAGAGCACTTCATTTTGATGTTTAGCGAAAGTATAGCTTCGGAACTAGAAACCGTTGAAACTCGTGAGGAACGAATGCGTAATTATAAGGCTGAGTGTGGGTTATAGACTGCTTCTGGGACTTACTTGGGAAGGGCTTAGCTGAGTTCTTAAATCCCTAGTTGAAGGAATGATCTTCGCTCGCTAGGGCTGCGTCATTGGAGGGTGAACTTTCAGCCCTGAATTGAATACGAGCAGCTCAATATCCACCTGACTCTGGTCAAGCCACTTTTAGCGTCGCTTCTGCCTGACGCTTACTGAGAAGAGCATGGCACAAATAATCCTCACAGGGAGTTCCGCATATACGGGAGTGCTGGTGCTATTCAAGAACATGAGTGGTTCGCAGACTTGTTTGATTCTCAACACTATAATTTAGTCTGCTGGAAGGATTCAGCCGCTTAAAATGCCCGACTTCGAGCCGATGCGGGCTGCAAAAACTCTGCAAAGGCGAACACGAAGTTCCTGACAATTCAACATCCATAAATTGACGACTGATTATCCAAGTATTCTCATATCATTAACATTCTCCTAAAGTCGTTATCAAGTACATTGAGAGGACCCTGCTTGTTCAATGATAGTTTAAATAGTTGAGTTTGATGAGCAACACACGCTTCAGAAATAGTAATGTTGTCTTGAGAAGCTTTCCAAAAACAAAGACGAAGCTACCACTACTACCATAATGCAAGATCTTAGTGACAGTTCCAAGAGGGAGATGTTGGTCTCATCATCCTCAACACTGTGAAACCCTGACCCCGATGGAGGAGGATCACGCTCATACTGAACGGGGATATGATATATCTTGAGCGGAGTCAGGTATTCAGGACAGAAGTGACACTATAGATGACATCAGTCGGCTAATGAGTCGACAATCCTGATCTGAGGAAACATACACCCCCATCACGGTCGGATCATGCATGCCGTGGCCGGTATCTAAGTGAGCATAGCCCCGCCATTCAAGCTAGCTTATTGTTCCGCCAGCCACGTTCGGGAAACGAGTAGGGAAAGGCCTTCGGCAATTAGGGTAGTTAATGCTGAGGCTTCTGAACATATCGATAGGGGAGGTAGAGTAGTCACAGCTTAACCAGTCCAAACGACAATGGAGGTCGGGAATCAGGAGTTCAGAACCGAAACTGGATTTAGTAACAAAAACGTTTTGGTAAACGGGGAGACCTTTCAAGCCATACGAAGCGGATATCCGGAAGGTTGTCGGTAGGTTAAGACTGTGCCCAGAGCTTTCTTGACTCGGAAATAGGATGTGGCTCAGCCGAGCTGCGTAGGCATACCGATTCTTTAGCATGGATGTGTAATAACATCCGGCCATGAACCTGAGTCCGTACCTGAGCTGCATGGGCTTGGTCCATCGCTACTATGCTGCCCGTGTCGAAATGACTCGGGGATGAAGCTGGGGGCGTTACAATCTCTCATAGAGTTGCATACAAGGAAAGCATAGGTGTGCCTTCTAGAAGCCTTGGGGAAAAGTCGGTCGTAGACGTTGGGAGGGTAAAGTAAAGGCATAAACACGGCTTGGACATATGGATATACGAGAACCCTTTTGGGAAGAGAGAGACAAAATGCACAATGGCGCGTGATGAGCACAGAGTCATGAGCATGAATTGCTGGCGTTGAAGAAACCCGATGAACTCGGGGAATGATAACTTAAAACTCGTTCAGCCCCCATCGGAAGCCGTTGAAATAGTGGTGCGGTCGCAAGGATATATGTGAACTCTGTAAACTCAATCTTGCGGAACGGGAACAATCGAGCAGATCAATAGATTGGATGACGTGTTACATAATACACCTCAGTAGTCATGATTGGGCAGCCTCATAACGCGGTGAACGTTTTGCGAGGTTCACGCGATCAGTCACCCACGCAGAGTTCTGTCAGGGGAAGCTAAATTCGCACTTAAACTGGTCACCATCTGCCTACTTTGAGTGAGGCGAATGGAATGCCAAGATAATCCCACAGCAATGTTTCCAGATACAGACTCGGGTGAGGAGACACCGGTTGTTTATACAGCAATTGCGGGCGCCGCTGCTGCTGCAGCAATCAAGGTGACTGGCATACTGAAGGGGCAGATGATGGATGCATCGTCCGACGAGTACTTCACTGAGGAGGATGTCAGCTCACAATCCTCCGACGATGCAACAGAAGAAGACAGCGATACCAAGTACGACAAGAACGGCAACCGTCGCGTACCGCTTCTGAGCGGCTGGCCGGCACTACCATCGCCTGCCGCATCTCGACGCTTGGCGATTGAGCAAGGCGTCCAAAAGTTTCACCACAGCCAAGCCGAATTGCAGAAGTCTATCATTGGCGCCAAGCGAACTCAGGCGATGACAGCTGCTGCTGCCGCCGCCGCCGATAATGAGCACGCAGCAAAAAGGGCGAAGACGATAGCCTCCGTGGGCCCGGCGCTGGACGCCGTTGCCATTCATCCGGTCCGGCTTACACCGCGGCGGGCCGAGTCGAAGCAGCGGCAAGTGTTGATGGAGGAAACCTGTGACCGGGTCACCCGCATCCTCGATCAGTGCACGGGCATAATGAAGAGCATAGAAAACGGAATGCGCGACCCTATTCAGCTGGCCATGACCGACGTGAGGGACAATGTTGGGCACGAACTGGTACCCTTTGGACTGAAGACCATTGCAACGGAATTCAGAGAGACGAGAATAGACGAAGTGTACATGAGGTTCTCGCTGCCTAGGAAACGGGAGTACCTGAAAAGCCAAGGGCTCTTGATCCCTCCTCGAGAATACATCATGAAGAAGGCTGCAGCCGACGTATGGTCCAATTTTGAGGATAGGCTTGTGCCTAATGGGCTGGAGATCGCTTGCAGAAGTCTGATGAAGTCGGGCATGGCCGAGATGTACCTAGTCTATCCGCTGGCGGCCAAGAGAGCATATCTGGAGAGAGAAGGGGTCTTGACAGGCCCCCGTGCCGTCCAGAAACCTTTGGATCAATATGTTATGCCCTTGGGCGGAGAGGAGAAGGGCCGTGTGCGCGAGTGGCTTGCATCTATGGACGATACAAGCCAAAGTGCTAAACGTCAGAGGACGGTGTGAATAATACGATTTGATGGCATCAACTGAATGACCATGTGCAGTGGTTGTCTGGTGGTGAACTGTGCGAGATGCCACTGAAATCTGTGATAAAAGCTAAGATGAATCTCAGTATGAATTGGGATTAGATAAGAATCAAGATGAATAACAGGAGAAAACCGACTAGACTTGAGCGAGAAGAAACATTAATTTTGAGCTGTTTGATGAGATGAAATGCAGAGTATTACATAATGCAGCTTTTTTGGGCTGTAAGAGAATTGATGTCACTGGCGCGGAACTTTGTACCGAAGCTCTGGGACATCCCAAACTTTTTTTGACCACCTGAAAAAAGTCACCCAATTCCACCTAATTCCTCTCTCACCAGTCCGCCTCGCTGTCTGAGTATGCTCGCAGCACCATGGGTGTGTCGTCGCTGTCTGGGAGGGCTTCTAAAGCCCAGAGCGATCCAATTCATCCGCCGTGCTAGCTCTGGTAAAGCTCCCTTCTTCATCCTAGACCCTTTTCAATCCCCCAGCTAATACGTTCCGTCAAACCCAGACACAACAGCAACCCTCCCACCAGCCCTCCTCCAACGAGCCCGCAACATCGCAAAAGAACACGACGCCCTCGCCGCGGCCCTCGAAGCAGACTACGACTCCAAAACGGCCCGCCGCGTAGGCGAGCTCTCGAGCGTCGTAACCGCCCTCCGAGAATGGGAAAAGGCACAATCCTCCATCGCCGAGCTCGACGGCCTCCTCTTCTCCAAGGATAAAGAGCTCCGCGAAATGGCCGCCGAGGAACTCCACGCCACAAACGGCCAGCTCAGCTCCCTCTCGCGCAAGCTCTCCGCCTCGCTCACACCCAAGGACCCCTACGCGCACATGCCCTGCCTCCTCGAGCTCCGCCCCGGTCCCGGCGGTCTCGAGGGCCGCTTCTTCGCCGATACGCTGTTCAAAATGTACAAGGGCTACTGCGCGCGAAAGGGTCTGCGCGCGAACATCATCAAATACGACATGGCCGACGCGGCGGGCGACTCCTCCTCCGCGGCGGGCGAGAGTCCCCTCCAGGAAGCCGTCATCGAGATTCAGGACCCGGGCGCGTACGACCTCTTCCGCGGCGAGGCGGGCATGCACCGCGTCCAGCGGATCCCCGCGACGGAGAGCAAAGGCCGCGTGCACACGAGCGCCGTGGCAGTCTGGGTTCTCCCTTCGTTCCAGGGCGACGGCAACGGCGGCGACATGGAGGATATCAACAACCCGGAGAGCGACTTCTTTATTGACCCATCCGAGGTCAAGATCGAGACGATGCGGGCGCGCGGCGCGGGCGGGCAGCACGTCAACAAGACCGAGTCTGCGATCCGCATGACGCATATCCCGACGGGCACAGTCGTCAGCATGCAGGACTCGCGGTCGCAGTCGCGGAACCGGGACGACGCGTGGAAGCTGATCCGGTCGCGGGTGGCTCTGCAGCGACGCGAGGCGCGCGAGGAGGCCGCCGCCCAATTGAGGAACTCTGTGCTGTCCAAGCACAAGATTACGCGCGGGGACAAGATCCGGACGTATAACTACAACCAGGACCGCGTAACAGATCACCGGGCGGGGATCGACGTGCATAACCTGCCCGATGTGATTGCGGGGGGCGAGTCGCTGGATAAGATTGTGGACGAGGTCAGGGATTGGCTTGTGTCTGGGGATATCGAGGCCATGATGGCTGATGAGGAGGTTGCCAACGCTGAAGCGAAGAAGGCGCAAAAGTGATGCAGATACGAATCTTTGTATAGAAGTGTACTATACTGTAAACTTGTAGAGTAAAGAAGACACGATCAAAGCAAGGTCAATATTGGTCAAACGATTGGCTTACTGGGCATGAATAAACGGCGATACTTATTGAGAAGTATTTACTTGGGGCCCATCAAGGGGAATATCAGACAGAATACGCAGAAACATGGGCACGAAAAAACAAGCTATCCATGGCATTATGTAGGACCGTGGGCCAACATACAACTCTGCTAACGGAAGCCAGAATCATACCGCTCGGTCATCAACTACAACGGACGATGCTTGTTGAAAAGCAGTCGCATTTTGACTACTCATGAGGGTTTGTCGTAATCCCTGATACTCAGCAACCCGCGCCCGCCTCAGTCACCACCAAACGTCATTTCGATACACAATTTGTTACCCGCCTCTTTTTCGGATCATGCGATTATTCCAAGAGAAAAGAAAAAAATCGCGTTGGTCGCGGGTTGGTCTTATTCATATTCGTGTTTGACATCCATCCCAACCTCATATTCTACAGGTCGCCAGGATCTGGGGCCGCAAGCTTAAATACCTTGATCACGGCTATGAGTCCGCTGGCGCTGATAGAAATACTTAATGCCAGACAAAAATGCACCAATAATTTCACGGCTGTCAGGCAGATGCTTGTAATGCCGGTCATCAAACCAATAATTCACTGCACAGATCAAGAGGAACCAGAATGTTGCGTTTCAAAAGTTTTTATATGTTATGTTTGACTACATCAGTGCCAAATACAAGAGAGGGGATGTCATACAGAGACGGCATGACAGAGGAGTCCAAAATTTTCCGTATCCGTCGCAGTCCATTCCATTTTTGCCGTGTCCTCCCGACCGCCGTAAGAAAAAAAAAGCCATAAAGACGCCGCGCTATGGTCATAGAATAATGTACAACAAGTGGTGTGATAGGGGTACAGGAGCCTCAGAACGTGACCCGCGGACCGGGCAATGTCGTCAATGACCCTTGGTGAATGGTATACATGGGTGTTCTCTCCCCTCCAGCCCAGGTCACGTTCCGAGATGCGCATTCGTCGAGCCGGGCAATGGCCATTAAGCCAACTGGCGTTCCCGTCTCATCATCTCCAGCACGCCCACGACGCCGTTCTTCCGAAGTCGCTCCAGAACGACGCGCATGCCCTCACGGCTCTTGCCCATCTGGTCCTGTGTCTTGCTAGAGGCGATGCTCTCGATACTGCGTTGAACGCCGCGCGCGCCGAGTCCGCTCATCCAGCCAGGCATCCAGCGACCCTCCTTTTGCTCCGGCTGCTCGACGGTAGATTGCATCTGGTCCTTCTTGCCGCCCCGCAGCCTCTCGCCGAGACGCGACTTATACACAAATGTCGTTGTGACATCGGTAGTCGCGTCAGCTGCTTCAATTGGAAGCCGGAAATCCTGCTTCTCGACGACGGAGAGCACATTCATGAAGCTCAGGTTCTTGCTCTCCGTGCGCATCCAACCCTCGCGCATGTCGATGACAGAGTTCTCAAGGACATAGCTCACTTTCTCGCTGGAGCCGCCTCCGGTGATAGATGTAGGGAGAAGCTTGAAGACGGGCGCGGGCATGCGAGACTTCTTCAGATGGATGCGGGTGGTGTGCAGCCTGCCTGTCACCGGGTCGAGGCGACTATCGATGGTGTCGGTGCTGAGGACATGGGTGGAGAACGGGTTGAGTTTGGGCGAAGAATAACGGAGGAAGTAGGCGAGCGTCACGGTCGGGAAGGGGTGGGAGTAGGTGTGGTTCGTAGTGTGAGAGAGGACCATGTTGACTGGAAGTGTATCCGGCTGGGTGGGTGTCTGAAGATTCAATCGTCGTGGCTCGGGTGTCGATGCGAGAAGGCGCTCAAGTTCGTCGGAATGAAAAGGGCGTTGACATTGAGAGCCCCGGAATGGCAATTCAATGCACGTATTGTTTGTTGATTCGAGGGATGAGGAAAAGAAGAATTTGAAGCTTCGTCCGGCCACTAAGTCGTCGGTTTTTGTCAGGATCGGGATTTGATCTGCGCCCAGTCTTCGCCGCAGTGTTAAATGGTATAGAAAGGCGAAAGAATGCGAGAAACGAAGAAAGGGAGGTGGCCGCAGCTGAAGAGGGGGTTTAGATGGTGACGAGGAGGACGAAGAGGAGGAGATGAGGAGGGGAGGGGGAGGAGAGGGCGGATATAATGATGTAGTGCTCGTGCGTATATCGTTCGATAGGTCGATGATTTTGGGGAAGAAGCTTCCCGTCCGGTGCGACTTTCTTTTTGGTCTGGGTCCAGTGCCTCCTTCCCCGACTATGCCGCACCTTCCACCGGGTCCTTCCAGCCACTGAGAGGAGACGCCAATTGGCTTTGTCTGCAGGTATTGCGGACTGTGATTGGCTAGGAGATCCAGTTGCGCCCGCTTTTCGTCAGACGAGCTTGGGCCGTTCGAGTGGCAAAATCACATGATGTGGAGTACACCGAGCTCACCGAGAGCTTACCTTACCTTACCTGCTTACCAAGGGGCGAGCTGTCAGTCGTTGGTTTAAGCCTCACCTTGGCCCCACCTCGGAACTCAACCTCAGCTCAAAGATGGAAGCTCGCTGCTCGGACTTTGACTTTACGTCTGAAACCCTCCACATGTATGCCGTATGGTATCTTGTGGGGAAACGTTTGATGGTGGAAATGGTCTGGTGTTTTCCACGGACCGCACCGCTTGCTTGATTCTCGAGGACGAGTCTCATTGGATATCGATTTGCGACGTTCCGAGAAGTCAAACACAACTGCTCCAGCATGGTTGGGTGATAATATGAGACCTCTGTACGGAAATATTTCGGAGAGCAGGAATCGCTGTCTTAACCCCAGCTACTCTAGTATATAGCCAAGCCTCAGCGGGATGTTCCCTGAGAAGGTAGTTGAGGGTAAGGTACTGTTCCTCTACGTCCTCTTCCCACGAAACAGAAAAAGATAATACTGGCAGCGTCATCATTCATAGAGCCGATGTGATGAATAGCATAAAGCTTTCAAATTGTGGCGAGCAAACTCGAAGTTGAAGCTGGTGACTGCACTATAGTTCATGTCCCCAGTATATCTTCCCGTATCATAGCCTTTGGAGACTTCATCATCATAAGTTGTGCACCTAGCCTGGCATGGACGCCCAAGCACTATCCTGATTTTCATGCAGATACCCTAAAAACTTCCGTCTACCGTCTACGGCGTGTTTGCATCTCTCATGTAAAGTGTGACGCTAGACACCGGCAGCGGGGCAACCCCGTTGAACGCCATTCGTCTGAGCCTACCCGGAAGCCTTTTTTTCGCACCTGGCGCATTAGCAAACATCACCAGACGATTTTATTGATCAAGACGATCCCGCTGGCGCCACTGACTGAGACATGCCGAGGATCGCACTGACGCCGTCCTCGTCCCCATCCCTCGCAAAGACGCCCTCGCCCGCGACCCGCCACCCCTGCACGCCGCTAAACTGCACAAACTGCACCGCCATATCCCACGCCTCTTTATCCGCCGCGTCGCCGCTCTCAAAGACGCTCAGATCGAGCCAGGGGCTGTCCGGGCTCGGGTTGAAGAGCTCGCGAAAGAGCATCGAGTAGGCCGTGTTGCGCTCCATCCAGAGGTCGGCGAGGTCGACGTTGCGCATTTCGTCCGGGTCGGAGAGGATATCGTTTCGTGGGACGAGCTGGACGAAGAGGCGGTCGAGGCGCGGGACGTTTTGGACGAGGGTGTTGAAGTGGCTCGAGAGGGGGAATATGCCGACGTAGGAGAGGTCGCGAATCGAGAGGGGAATCATGGGCTCGTCGTTTGGGAATTCTTCTGCTCCCAACAGAGCGCCGAGGATGGATGGCGGACGTTTGAGGTAAAATTCGTATGTCTTGTAAACTCGTGTCGAGGATCCTTCGTTGAGTAATAGAGCCTGCCATGGGCGGATGGTGAATAAGTTACAAGGAATCCGCTTTTGATGTGTGGGTTCAGAACCAGATGCCTGACTTGATGATGGTGCTGTCGCCAGTGCCTTGATTTGTGTGTCCTTCGTCCTTTTGTCTTTGCGCGAGAGTGACAAAACGTGCCTAGGCATGGAGAAGTTCCACGCATCCCCGAGGAAGAGCATACGTGATAGCATTTGGGCCAGCACTCGTGGTGACGCAATCATGGTGAGCCGGATGGGATCGATATGTTCAAAGATTGTTGCCCAGAGCCAGTTATAGTCTTCGCTGTACGAGGCCTTGTTCGCAAAGCCTGTTTCCATGAGAGTGGCACTGCTGGTGCCGTCCGATACGCCGCCCATAGCATCGTCGACGAACATTGAAAGCGTTTTAACATAGTTGATCAAGTTATTCGCTCTAAGGAAAGACAAAAAGTCAATTGCGGAAGCAGGATTTCCCGTCTCTTCCATGAGCGGCAGCTCGAATCGGTCAAAGGTCCAGACCACATGGCGGAACAACAGAGGGAGAACAGCACCTCGCCATCGCTTGCAAACGAGAGAAGTGGTCTTGAGATCACGGTCAAAGAAGATATTCTGCAGCATGAAGGAGCTCGGTTGATCGTGGAGTTTCGAGTCTGATGGGGCAGGCCGGTCCAGATGGGAGAATATCTGGCTTAGGATCTCGTTCGGGAGATCATTGACGGAGGTGGCCATCGTTGCTTGTATTACAGCAGAGGCTGTGAGAAATTTGTCCAAGATGGAGAAGTCGTCTTGATGAATTGACGCGGAGTGACTTTGTCGTCGAAAGACTGGAGGGCAATGTTTCACGGAATAGTCCCGACCGAGGCAAGTTTCAAGTTCAGACGAAGCGATGAGGCCGCCTCGGGAGAGACGGAATGATGGTTCGCTGACGGAAGTACCTCGGCCCAAGTTCAATCAAATAACGTGGATGGAGATATTGGAAGAGGAGAGAATTGACGATGATATTACTGAAGCTCTGCCATTCGGTTAGAGGTAGCTCCAAGGTTACCTGTCCTGGATGGGGGCGACATGTCACCGCGGGGTCCTGGTCCGTTTGCCCCGCCACGGGGACAGGCGGCCTTTGCCACAGTGCTCCACCAGAGCTCCTGCGATAAGATAACGATAAAAGCTCCAAGTTCGAAGCTCCGGATCTTCACTCCTCTCCCTATGACATCTCTTGGTACCTCTAGTTCTGGCGTATGGGATTCTGAAAGGGCATTAAGTGCATATGGCAGCCGTGGGTTTGGTCAATTCGTAAACTGACCATAAGTGGATCATGCCTTGAGGTCACTGATTGGGAAACGGCTCATACCAATTTCGATGGCATTGTGAATTGCTGGAAACACGGCGGCCAACGAATCGACGATGCACTTGAGCTGCACAAAAGCCCAGTCAGCACTTACATACCAGACATATCCTTCATGTCGGAAGACTTATCATCTTGAATTGAATGCAAGCCATATGCAACTTTCTTTTCCTCGAACGACAATCATCCAGCGTCTCCACCGCGGTGCTCCTGCGGCGCATAGCCTTGGCTGCACCTGAAAGAAGCAAACCGACCTCAAGAATGACTTTAACCTAGCAGAAACCAGGCACCAATTCCAAAACACTCGCTTTTACTTAAGCGGCTAGCGATTGATAACCGATTCCGATGCCGCTCTACTCATCTGCCGTCCAGCAACATATGATCAGACCCCCTCGACTAAGCTATGACAAAGGGCGGGGAAAGCGGGGAATCTTGGTGGGTGGCCAGCTCGGGGGAAGTGGTGATGGTGGCACGGGATGACATCGTCCTGACGGGGGTCCAGGTCTGAGAAAGCACAAGTCTGTTTGCTTCGGGTAGTCTCACACCAGAGTGGACGCTCGCGAGATCTGGTTTGAATGACTGGCCAACCTAGGTAAGTTACCTAGCTAGGCCATTGGATCTCGCAATGCCGAAGGACCATCCCGTTTCGCAACCCCACGCTCCGTCGCGAGTACCAAAGTCTATATATACGCCGTGACCAGGAAGTTCTTCTCTCACTTGACTCCAGCATCACCCAATTCATAGCTCTGTTTTACACAAAAAGAAAGAAATCATGACGTCCAAGAACCACCAGAAACCGCCCTTCCGCGCCGAGCACATGGGCTCGCTCCTGCGCCCCAAGGCCCTGACCGACAAGCGCGTCGCCTTGGACGGGAAAAAAGCCGTGGAGATTGCAGACGACCAGGAGCTCAACCGCCTCGAGGAGGAGGGCGTGCGCGAAATCATCAAGACGCAGCTGGACCTCGGCTTCCACGCCATCAACGACGGCGAATACCGCCGCCACCAGTTCTGGGGCAACTTCTTCCCCGGCCTGGAAGGGTTCGAGGAGGTCGATACGCCGAGCTGGGATATCTTTCGCATGTACGTGCCCGACATTGCCGCGTTCAGTAAGTCTTGGCCCACGGGATACTCGATACTCGAGATGGGGAGACTGACGCTATGTAAACCCCAGTTGAGAGCGACCACAAGCCCGGCGAGTCCATTGTCTGCACCGGCAAGATCAAGCACAAGGGAAGCACCTATCTGAGAGAATGGGAGTTCCTCAAGAGCAACATCCCTGCCGAGAGCGTCAAGGAGGCCAAGTTGACCTTGCCCGCGCCTGAGTGGTATCACCTCCGCTACCAAAAGGGGCACGCTTATCCCAAGGACGTCTACGCCAACGACGAGGAATACTTTGCCGACATCGCCAAGGCGTACCGTACCGAGCTCGAGGTCCTCTATGAGCACGGAGTTCGCAATGTGACAATTGACGATCCTAACCTGGCGTGTAAGTGAAGCCTCGTTACCTCATCCGTGTCCCGACCCCTCCAAGTCACAGTTAACTGACAGAACATAACGCCCAGACTTCTGCTCGGAAAAGATGCTCCAAGGCTTCAAAGACGCAGGCGAAGACTCAGACGCCCTCCTCCAATCCTATATCAAACTCTACAACGACTGCATCACCTCCCGCCCCGCAGACATGCACCTCGGCATCCACCTCTGCCGCGGTAACTTTGCCTACTCGCGCCACTTCTCCGAGGGCGGCTACGACCGCATCGCCTCGCGCCTCTTCAAAGAGATCAACGCCGACACCTACTTCCTCGAGTACGACACCGACCGCGCGGGCGGGTTCGGGCCGCTCAAAGAGTTGCCGGCGCACAAGAACGTCGTGCTGGGCGTCATCACGTCAAAGTTCCCCGAGCTCGAGGACGTTGGGAAGCTGAGGGAGAGAGTGTTCCAGGCGGCGGATTATGTGGCGCAGGGGGCTGGGCAGACGCGCGAAGAGGCGTTGAAGAGGATTGGGGTTAGTCCGCAGTGTGGGTTTGCGAGTCATCACTTGGGGAATTCGGTTTCGCATCAGGATATGGTGAATAAGTTGAAGCTTGTGAGGGAGTTAGCTGATTCGATATGGCCAGGTGAGCCTTGAATTCTTGGAAGTTGGGCGAGCAGCGGCGTTCGGGATGTATTGTTGCCTGGGGGTAAAGGGCGGTGTGCTGTGCTGGAGTGTCTTGCTCCGTCAGATGTATTCTTTGAGGTTGCTTTTATGTATGTGATATCTCATAGCTGCAGCAACTTTGGACCGAACATGCCTTGCCAGAAGCCTCTGTGATGTAGAGCTCTGACGGAGCATATACCAACCATTGAAAAGTTCCCTCATGCGCAACGTCAAGGCATGTTGCTGCCACACGTGGAAGTCAGAATGGGACAGGCACAAAGTCTTCACTGCGAAAAAGAAAGGGTATCATTTTGAGCTCAAAGCTCGGCCTACGCCAAACTCCATCTCCATCGCGCAAGCAAATGCCAAACTGTCAACCAACTTCTTAGATCCCGCGCATCTCTCTTCATTGCAGCCCATTCGAAGTCACGCAGTCAAAGGCTGCGGATTATTCCCCACCGTCTTATACAGCTCCCTCAACTCAAACTCCTCGTGCCCACCCTCGGGTACCTCGCCCACCACGCGCGCCGGCTGGCCTGCGACGACGCTGAAGCTCGGAATCACCATGTTGGGCGGCACTACTGTGCCCTCGAGGATGCGAACGTAGTCCTTGACGATGGCGAACTCACCAATGACGCAGTCGCGGCCGATATGGATGTGGTTCCCGATCGAGGCGGCCTGGATGACGACGTTTGCGCCGACGAAGACATGGTCGCCCATGCGGAGCGGCATGTATGTGAAGGCTCTGCGGAACGTACGAGAGTCAGCAAGGGTTTGATGTTGTGAAAAGATGGAGGGAGGAGAAAGAGGAGGAACACATACCCTTTGTACATCCGTCCCGGGGGCCGGAGGAGCGCGCCCCTAGAGAGGAAGCAGTACCTCCCGATCGCGACGGCCGTGCTGTTGGCCGGGGCGCCGCCCGCAGAGGGCTGTGCTGAGCGAGCGAGGTCACCGCGGATCATGACCTCTGGTTGGATTACCGTCTTGCCGCCTAGCATGATGTTCTGGGTTCCGACGAGGGTTGCTTTGCGGGCGACCTTGTTGCCTGTGTCCTGTTGTTTCTCGCAGAGTTAGTCGGTGGTCTCAGCCCGTGGGTTGTGGTAAAGGGAAATGATTTGGAGGGGAGAGAGTGCGTACGGTCTCAATGTAGTCTCCTTTCGCTACTCTGCGCGACATGGTGGGCTGGTGGTGGAAGCTCTGGGGAGCATCTGGGTTGAAGCTGGAATACGAATAGGTGAGAGTTCGCGTATGCCGAGTTGGGTGTGACGTTGGTTGGAGCTTCCTGTCGGCGGGTCAGTGCGCCCACCGCCGTACATCATTATAGGGGTCCCGGATCGACTTTTGGAGGGGAACCGGCCCGCGCCTTATCTTCATCTGCATCTCAGTGACAATCCCGGAATCGCGCTCAAATATACTGCGATAATTCTGACCACTACACTCCCAAGCCTTCCTGGAATCAAGATTGCAGCAAGCCGTCATTTCGACAATTCTGTTCAAGCACTAAGTAACTTACACCAAAGTATGTACCTTGGGTAGACAGATAGAACTCAAGCTTAAGTACTGGGTAAATGTATCTGGCAGATGCACACCTCAATGCCAGATAAAACCAGCCGCCGCCTCAATGATCTTTTCCCGTAAATTGCCATGAGTCCAGTTATCCAACGATGCTATGAACATTTCCAGTCGTTGGGGATCCCAGCGGACAAGTATGCCAAGTACGCCAATGTCCCAGGTATTCGTATCAAACAAAGCCAAACGCCGTTTTCCACCATATGCTTGATGGTTCTCAACCATGTTTGTCGCCTCCTTTCGTTCAACATCAGACACCAGATATCAGAAATATATGCGATCCCTCTGCCTTGGACCGTTCCTCAGTGAGGCATGCCGCCCATGTCAAGCATGTGTCCCATCTTTTCAATCTGTGGTACTGTTAGTTTAGGCAATTCACAGACATCCAGACACAACAGAAACATACCTTTGTCTTCAAGTACCCCTCAACCTCATTGCTCCGGAACCCGCCTCGGCCCTTCCACGAAAGCGGCACCATCGCAACGCGCTCCGTAACCCTCACCTCGCGATTGGGTCCCTCCACCGCCCTAATTTTATCAGGGTTATTCGTCAGCAGGCGCACCTCGCTCTGCCCAAGATCCTGCAGCATCGCCGTCGCCAACCCGTAGCTACGCGCATCCGCAGGGTGACGCAGCAGCAGGTTCGCCTCGACGGTATCCGAGCCGAGGTCCTGGAGGTTATACGCCTTCAACTTCTCGCCCAAACCGATGCCGCGCCCTTCCTGGCGCAGGTAGATAATAATACCGCCATTCGTGTTCCCCGGCAAACTCATCAGCCGCGCCGCCTCGTCGAGCTGCTCGCCGCAGTCGCACCGCGCAGACCACGCCGTCTCACCCGTGTAACACTCGGAGTGAATCCTCACCAGCGCAGGCCCGCGCTGCGCAGGCGGCTCTTCGCCCACGGGCGTCGCTACGCCGCCCGGCATACCGCTCGTCGACCTTCCGGGAAACAAACGACCCGTGTACGCGCCGCGAATCATGCGGTCCATCTCTGTCTCGCCGGGCCGCGGCGCATCGAGCGACTGGCTGCGAATGTGGGGCCCGAAGACGATGGCCAGGTGCTCCTTGTTGTCGACGTTGTTGGTATACAAGTGCAGGAACATTTCGGTACCGTTGACGGTGGGGATACGCGCGCGCACGATGCACTGCACCTCGGGGAGGGTCTCGAGGAGGCGGGGGCGCTTGGTGCCGCAGCCGCCTGAGGGGACGGAACTGTCGACGGGAACGCCGCGCGGGGCCGCCTCGGCTGTGAGGGGGGTTGATGTCCCCGGTGTCGCGGGCGGTGTGAAGGCTGGCGAGAGGAGGGAGGGCGGCGGGATCTGGGTGGCCGAGGTTGTTGATGCGGCGTCGTCGTCGGCTGTTGCGGGGGCTGCTGCGGCGGCGGGGTTAGAGAGGCTCAATTGTTCGGGCTCTGGGTGCGCGGCGGTCGAAGCATGGTCGGTTGAGCCGTCGACAGTCTTTTGTTTCGGGGAGTAGAAGGAAGGGAGCTGGTGAGTGTCTTCGCGCCAGTCGTTGGGCGCTCCCGCGCCGTCTGGCTTGCCTTCGAAGTCGGGCATGGCGGGGGTTTTTGGTGATGGAAAGCCGCGGAAGTGGGGGGAGGGAATTGGTGCGCTGTGCAGAACAGGTAACGTTGGAACGTGAGACGGCCAATTCCAAAGGGGTATATTTGTCCACTGGGTACAATGGCGGAGAAAGGCAATCAGCAAGTGGTTGGAAAGAAGCCAGATGTCAAGAGCGGGAGAGAGAGGTTCAACGGCGGAACAGCGGCGTGAGCGGCAAGAACATTAAATCGGTGACCGGTTCCGCTCCGAACGGCGAGGGGTGGTGAAATGCGGTGGTTGTGGTGGTGGTGGGCAGGTGGTGGTTGTGTCTGGCATTAGTCATGCAGGAAGATGATGACAGCACGGGTGCATCTGCCATGGCAATCTGCGCCGGCTAGGTACCTCCACAGGCGGAAGTTCCTAAAGTTAGTGGGCGGGCACGCAAGGTCGGCCCTCGACCGCACTTCGCCGAGGTTCCAGCGATCCGACGGCTATGGGCCTCGAGGTACTCCAAGAGAGGTGGGTGTTCTCGCGCGCGCGGAGAGTTCGGGGTGTTTGGTGCTATTCTCCTTGCTTAGGTCAGATTCGAGCGAATCGAGCCCACTTTAGTGGTCTAACTTGGATTTCAGGGTTTCTTTAGCGGGGTCGGCTCTTTTCCGCGCTGAGCTTTTTGCACGCAGTCTGTGGGGCTCCCCTGATTACATCATCAAATCCTGGTATCGGCAAATTCAAGAATTGCACCTCACTGTCAAGTGCACTCGATGACTCTCACACTGAAGGTCGGGTTGATTTAAATCCAGCATCACCTTACTCTGGAATACCTATCCCTGGGCCAAGATGTCTCGAACTCTACTGTTGTCTTTTTCCGCACACTTAATAAAATCTGTCCGTTTCATATTTCCATTAATCTATTTTCCTCAGTCTCTGGGCCTTTGTTGAAATGTGACGGCTCAGAACGAGACCTGACATATGAGCCAATCAAGTGCTCGAGTTCCGCCAAAGCCCAGGATGTCTGTGTCAGCATTAAAAATCAACCGCGCGGTGCTTTACACCAAGCTCTCCATCACCAACGAACCACCCGTCGTCGGCTCCGACCTGAGGTTGTCAACTGGGATGCACCCGTCTAATATCCCAAAAGGCCATCAAAGTGCAAATACAAAGACTCTCACACGAATCCTGTTTTCCAGTGTGTCGCGGGTTCCTGCATTGCATCTGTGCGGCTCTGGTGTATCCCAGCCTGCCTCCCGTCCACCATGTTTCTATCCCGGCCGCATCCATCGTAGCCATCACAACTTTAAATGTAGCTATATGGCTGGAGTTGACGCGAATGTCATCAAACGTGTCCTCTCTTTGTGTGGAGTTGAATCTGTAAGTGGGCGGCCACCAATGCCCTGGTCACTACTGCGGTCGTATACTATGTGCCCGACTTCTTGAGGTGTATCACTGTGATAGGATAACAAGACAACCAGCAAGATGGAGTCGTACCTTAGTAGTGACTGTGGTGGAAGTTGGAATGAAATCTCAAAGTGTGTCGCCAAATTCAGACTCGAACTCTGACATGCGTGTTGTTTGATTGGCCGCACTGCTTTTTTTTTGCTCTTTTGCCCTTTTGGAACATCGGAGGTTCCTCTTTGGTGGCTTTCCCTTTGGCTACCTTACTTGCCCTTACTTGCCCTTACTTGCTAGATACCAAGCACCAACATCGCGAATGTCGCTGATGACCTCCCTATATCTCAGAGCTCTATGTAATCCGTCTATATTCTTCTTTCAAGTGAAGGAGAATAAAATTGCTAAAGCTGAAGTGATCGTAGACACGAATGTAGATTGGCCAAGTTACCGAACCAATAAACTCACCGCATCCTCGGACGCTCCTCGCCGAGACAACCAACGCGAACGCGCATCGAACCAAAAAATCTCTACAGGCCACTTGCATTGGTGGTTCGCGTTTCTGGATGTGCTGTCAAACGTGAGTCACATCCGCAGCAACGCCCCCCATCATCACCCATGCAACCCGTTTCGTTTTTTTTCGTCTCTTCCCATCTCAATCCAGTACAATCAACAACCTCCCATCACCGATTTGAGATGCCATGCCCACCAGCCCGTGCGGGTGGCGCGGGAACCATTGGCTTACACGCTCCCGTCCCTGCTGCAACCACTTGTCGCCTCCTCCCGAAGTCTCCAGACTTCCAGTGCAACCCCCCGTCCGTTTCAGTCCCTCCCATGCCAAATGCCAGGCACATCATGGGAACTCGACTATGAGGCTTCTCTTCACCCCCTTCTTTTGTTTACTTTCAGTTTCATGGATCAAGTGATCCACCAGACTAATGCGACGGCCTAGCGGTTCGTCGAGGCCTCATTGTTTCTTGTTTCTTGTTGTGGCCAACACGCTGCCCTCGTCCAGTGGAGTGCTCCATGCAGCCAGGATACGAAAACATCGCCAACTGGCATGTCCCTCACACAACCATACACACTCTCTCGAGTGATATAAGAGGATCAAGTGACTTCTTCGTCTCACTGCTTTCTTATTGCATCTCACAAACACAACAATCAGCAGCTCATCTGACGAATACTACACCACTCATTTCGAGGACCTCGATAATACCGGCTACTTTCAAGGTCACTAATAAGAGCATCTTATTCATCTCACCGCCCAACCTTCATTCAGTAATACTTCATCTCTCACTTTCATTGTCTCGACAAACACCAGCTTCACTTCATCGACTGAACTTGACAACATCTTACAATCTTTAACCATAACCACATCAACAAACAAAACACCACAAACAACCTTCAGAATGGAACCCTCCAACGTAATCGCCTGGCTGCTTCCCTCATCCACAAATCAACCAGCCCTCGAAGCAATCCGCATGCCCCAAAACGCGACCCGAACCGTCTCCACGATCCCCTCATCCTACGAACTCATCATCCAAACACCAAACCCAAACCAACTCCCGCCCACAACACCAACAATCGACCCCTCCCTCCTCACCAAATCCTCCTCCTCCCTCGAGGCATCATCCACCACCAAACCCCGCCCAGCCCTCTCCCTGACCTTCACATCGCCCCCCAAATCCAACCCAGGCTTCGTCCTCGGCACCGACCCTACCCTCGCAGACATCCTCCTCCCTTCCCTCCCGGGCATCGCCCCAGCACACTGCCACATCACTTTTGACGCCTCCCATCGCCTCGTCCTCGTCGACACCTCGAACACCGGCACGGCCGTCTGGTACGACGGCGCTAGCACCGGCGACCGAACCCGCGAGTCCTGGGTTCTCAGTGCCGGCAGCACCTACGGATTCCCCTCGATGGTTGACCGCGTCGTGATCGATATCCAGACGGTGCGGTTTCAGGTCATCATCAACGAGGCGCACGTCCTCAGGCCAGAGGCGTACAAGGAGAACGTCGAGACGTTCATGTCAAGCCTCGAGAGCGCCAGCATGATCGCAGAGGCAGCAGCAGCAGTAGCAGCAGAGGAAAAGACACCAGACCTCGACGCCAGCATCCTAGCCAGCATCCTCGCCTCCCACTCCCACTCCTACTCCCACTCTCAAAAAGAAGACCAGCAACTCGTCCGCCGCGACGAAAAGGACGTCTGCGATTTCTACTACAACTTCAACTTTGACCTCGGCTTCGACCTCGACTACAACTGCAACTACGACTTTGACTACGACATGTCGGACGACGAAATGGTGGACGACGTCGCCGAGGAAGAAAAGATGGACTTCCTCCCCCCGATCCCCTCCGTCGTGCCGCCTGCGTACGTGAAGTACCTGCTCACCTCGGACGACGGGGCGCCGCCGGAGACGTATCTCTGGAACACGGCGAGGCCTTGGGAGCCGATGGTCAAGGTCGTTTGCTGAGCTCGCCCAGAGGGGAGAGATCATACGTTATCCGACAATGGAAAAATAGGACGTGAAAAAGACGCAGAGAAACAACTTGTGTAAAATCAGGTTCATATGGAGTACATTTGTCCCAAAGGTGCTGGCACTGGACGGCGTCTGGTTCTCATTCATTGCTTTGGAGTTTTGGTGGGAGAATTGGCGCTATCATCAGCGCTTTACACTCATTTTTTGCCCCTTTTCAGATTGGCATTATTTCATTTCTCATCTAATAGCATATTTTCATTTCGTCTGTTTCGTTGTACATTTAGACCAGATACCCCCATTCGCATGGCCTCCCGTTCCTTTGTTTATTGTATATAGGCTGAAGCATCAACCCAAGAAAAGAAGAAAAATTACAGCTGGCAGACATCGTTCGCATTCGTCCGCCGACTCTACCGCAAGTGAAAAGGAGGAGTTCCGAGAGGTTTGAGAACGCAAAGTGTTGGAAATCCGTCCCGCGGAGACGACACTCGGCACTCACCCTCGCCACATTTGGAGATCTCCGGCAACTAGGATGAAGACCGGGTTGGGGTTTGGGGAAACGGGAGGCGCCAAAAAGCAACGGGCGGGCTAACGAGGCCAGACCAACGACCTTATCTACCGCCCAATCTTATCTCCAGACTTTCAACCATGTGCGTCCGCGCCGATCTGCTTCTCCGCGGACTTCAAGATTGGGATGATGTTCACCTGAATCTATTGGAAGGGTTGATATATGGATGGAAAATGGCGTTTTGTTGAAATATACATATCTAGAGTACCTCTACCCCCTAGACCTTAGAATCCAAATGTTGGAATGTTGATGATCACTCGCCCTCCGGACGGTGTTGACGTTCACCCGCATCGTAGATAGACAAGAAACACCATCAACAACCCAAAAATGGCCGCAGAAGACAATGAACCCAATGAGACCAGCCCCCTCCTGCCAACATCTGAAATCAGACAATCCACCCCGAACCCATCCTACCAAACCTCACTTTCCAAAGCAGACCAAGCCCTAGGCCAATCGCCCCCTCTCGGCGATCGCCTCCCCTACAACGACTACACCACCATCGACTGGCTGCGCGATCTGACAAAGGACTCCTCCCGCGCCCGTCGTCTCCGCGCACGCCCAGGTATCTACGGCACCGCGGCGCGCTGGTTCGACCAGTGCCAGGGTTGGATCGCCGCCGCGGTCATCGGCGCGCTCACGGCCCTCGTTGCCTTCGTCGTCGACGTCTCCGTGGCGACGGTGAGCGATTGGAAGGAGGGGTACTGCAAGACAAATGTTCTTTTGGACCGTGGGCGGTGTTGTTGGGGAGTGTCGGAGACGGAGACTTGCGATGCTTGGAACCCCTGGATCGATGAGGGCGAAGGAGGGGGGTACGCCGCCAGCTATGCAGTCTATGTGCTGTTTGCCCTCCTCTTCGGCGTCGTCGCGGGAAACGTCACCATGACCACCAAAGCCTCTCTGCCAGCCGTCGACGCTGACAGTGCCGTCACGACAGGTGCCATGATAGAAGGCAAGACGATGTACATGGCCGCCGGCAGCGGCATCCCCGAGATCAAGACAATACTGTCGGGCTTCGTGATCCCTCACTTCCTAGACTTCAAGGTCTTGGTTGTGAAAGCGGTAGGCGCGACCTTTGCCGTGTCGACGGGCATGTGTCTGGGCAAAGAGGGGCCCTTCGTCCACATCTCGACGTGCGTCGGGTGGCTGGTGGCCAACCGGTTCCCCAAGTACAGGGACAACCCACGCAAGATGCGGGAGATGCTGAGCGTGGCGTGCTCTTCCGGCCTGTCCGTTGCCTTTGGTGCGCCGATTGGCGGTGTGCTGTTCAGCTACGAGGTACGTTTTTTTTTTTTTTTTTTTTTTTTTAAATGTTTTGATGTAACTGGTATCGTGGTTCCAACTGGACTGGGGTTGATGATGTTGACAAGCCCGTCGATTAGGAAATCAGCACGTACTTCCCACGACGTGTGTTGTGGCGCGCGTTCCTGTGCTCACTCATCGCGGCCATTGCTCTCAAAGCACTGAATCCTACGGGAACCGGAAAGCTGGTGCTTTTCGAGACGAGTTATGGAGTCGACTATGACCCGGTGCACTACTTGGTGTTTGTGATGCTGGGTGTCGTTGGCGGCGTGTTCGGCGGAGTGTTCTGCAAGGCCAACTTTCTTTGGTCCAAACGTTTCCGCAGATACGACATCGTCAAGAAGCATCCCGTGCTTGAACTTTGTTGTGTCGTATTGGCGACCGCTTTGCTGCAGTACCCAAACGTGCTCATCCGCGACACGGGCGACGTGGCACTCTCGAGGCTACTAGTTGACTGTAAGGAGCCAAATGGCAACTGGATATGTCAGCAGGAGGGAAGCAACGACAAGAGAGCGTACATGCTGCAGCTGGCCAGCGGCGCGGTCATCAAGTTGCTCCTGACCATCATCACCTTTGGATGTAAAGTCCCCTCTGGCATCATCATCCCCGCTCTCGACGGCGGCGCTCTTTTCGGACGATTGGTAGGTCAGTTCGTTGGTGGGATCTCGCCCGGTATTTTTGCAATGGTCGGGGCGGCGGCCTTCCTCGCGGGCGTGAGCAGGATGACTGTGAGCTTGGCTGTCATCATGTTCGAGCTGACTGGCGAGGTGACGTACGTGCCGGCCTTTATGTGCGCCATCCTGACGGCCAAATGGGTCGCGGACGCGCTCTCGGGAGAATCCGTGTACGATCTCTCGCAACACCTGCTAGGCCACCCCTTCCTAGATGCGGAACAAGCCTATGAAGTGGTGCGGAAGCGCGAGGCCACCGCCCGTGAGCTGGTTCCTCCAGCCGCGACGATGGAGGAGATCACTCTGCGGGTGGGCAGTGAGTACCGCGTCCGAAGGGATGTGCTGTCGGAGAAGCTGCGGAAATTGAAGGCCAGGGGACTCATGGATGCGGGCCTAGTTCTTGTTAATGATGCCGGACTTCTATTTGGCTATTTGCCCGAGGCAGAAGTAGAGTATGCGGTGCTGAAAACTGGCGAAGCGGAGGAAATCGATTTGCGAACTGGCTTCATGACTGAGTTGGTTGATCGAACGCCGCTCACAATCTGCGCCGAGGCCCCGATGGAGCACGTTTTGGAGATATTTGGGAAGCTGGGCCCGAGGTACACCATCGTTGTTGAGCCGGAGACGTCCAGGGTGCTTGGTGTTGTGCTCAAGAAGCGACTATTGGACTTTTTGGATCGGGTTAAGGCGTCTTGATACTCCACGTCTAGCCACTGTAAAATCCCGGAATTTAGCGCAATCGAATCACAAGTCTTAGGTTCACCACACTGTCGTGTTTGTCGACGAGCAATCTGGGTTTGAGCAACCAGTTCTTTGGCTTTGTCTTCGAAATAACCCATGCCCGCGAGCCCTCGTAAAACATCCGCCTGTAACTCGATCATGTCATTCCGCCGCTACCAGGGCGCATGACGGCGATTGCCCCTCCCCCCTCCGCACTTCAAGATACTGGCTTCTCGTGAAGTGCTCTCCTCGCAGATGCAGCGCTCTTCGCCATGTCTATCCCTCGTACCGCAGCGAACTTTCCTCATCATCGGGCCATAATGAAATCGCAAAAAGACGTGAATTCGGCTCGATCTATGACCCTCGCGGCAAGACCAACCCCATGCTGCCCTTTTCTGGCCCCCTGATCCTCAAATAACAGGTTATGTACACAGACGCTCGCCGTCCCAGGCTCGTTTCGTTCGTCTCGTCCCGTTGCCAACACTCTAGTTGCTTCTCGTTCCCTTCTCCGCGCGGAGCTCGTTCATCTTGGCGACACGCTTCTTGAACTCGTCGTACTGGCACTTCTCGTAGCTGTGGCGCTCGTCCTGTTTCGATTGAATTCTAGGTCAGCGACAAGTCATGTTCTCGGATTGATCGGACAGAGCGGCTGAGAGGTCGAGAGGGAGGCCGGGTAGTGGCGGATGGAAGGGGTGAGCAAAACTGACATTGCACTTCCACGGAAGGTACCAAGTGTCGACACGGCAGCGGTTGAGGGGGATGAGGAGGCCGGCGCAGCTGTCGCGGTAGGGGAGGGGGAGCTTCGCCTCCCGCATCTCCTCGCGGGTTGCTTCTGGAGAGGGATGTCAGCCATTGCGGGTGGGTGGATAGCATGGGGGAAGCTAATAGGGATACGGACCCCTTGGTGCTGAGTCTCCGGCCATTGTGACGACGATTGGGGTCTGTAATGGGCGAATGAGGCTATCGTCGATGGTCAATTGGGATTCTGGATCTTGAAATGTCGTCGGAGCTTTGGATTGGACTGTGGAGCTTCCGACAGTGAATTCCCTGGTGGCCTGGATTGTGAGGCCGGAACACGGTTGATTACCTTTTGGGGCATCTGATTGGTTGAAGGGGGGTCACTGCCAGCACGGTCGCGCCAGAGCCAGGAAGCCTCCTTTTCAATCTTCTTGTCTTTACACTACGAACTTGAACTCTACGAACTTGAACTCTATTACACTGCATACTGCACTACAGAGGTACTTTACGCAGAGTTCGGCATCTGGGCGCCTATACAGTTTGTACGTCGTAGGTTCTTACTTACATCGTTAGCTGGACCACTTGTACGCACTCTTCAATCTTTATGAGTTACTCAGTCTCCAGTCGACCAACCACATAAGGCATCAAGCATACCTTACTTACCCACTTCCCGAACACGACAGTCTTTTTATCTGGCTATCTACAATTCCCTGATTCACTGATAAGTTGTGTGATGAATGGCGAGGTGCCCAAGGAAAATCGTCTGTGGGGTGGTTATGAATGCAACCCTTCAAGCCCGCCTGCAGCAACGTAACATTCCCTGAGTCGATCGTCGGCAACAACTTCAGTCTATCTAACCATTTCGTATTGTTATCAATGGGATCTGGGCGGTATTTCTTCCCTTCAAGTACTCGTCAATGGCAGAACGCCTCTACGTTTCCACAGGAAAGAAAGACCTTTGCCTCTTAAGCCGAGCTGAGGGGCTCACCATCCGAAACTTTTCTGCACAAGAGCCGATCACCCAAACCAACTCCTACGAGCCCTAAAACACCTTCCCATTGTCGCAGGTCGGCCCTTGGACCGGAGACAATAGTTCCTGCCGGACTGCCGATGCGTGCCACCCGACCTGGGGCCATCGCCATCTCCCAACGCTCACCTTCCGCTTCCGGCTAACCTGTCGGCCCACGCAACGAACTTCTCATCACCTGCAAATGCCTATCAGAGATCGTAAAGCCGTTGTCAATCCGCCTTCAACCCCCCAGTCTCATTATGGAGACCTCGTCGCATTTGGTCCTTGGGCCCCGTGCGATGCCGGGGTCGCACCGGGGCTAGTACCTCTCCCGCCAACACTTGGAAAGCTTGTTCCTGTTCACTGTGAATGTCGACAATGTCAAGGTATGGGATGTCGCATAGCATGTTGCTTAAGCGGCCCCGATCATCGCTTCGTATTGCCGTGAGATACGGGGGTCTGCGTCCTGGACCCATGTCCAGCGTTTCTCTCAAAAGATGAAGCTCCCCTGGACGTGATCATGAAGCTGGTGTTCCTGCTTGGTTGACGAGCGTGCCAAGCCAGTCGTTCCGTGTTCTGAAGATCCTCGGCTCTCCGTCAACATGAAGGTCTCACTCGCCTTGCTCAGCTGCCTCGCGGTGGCTCAAGCCCACTTCGCCTTCCAGCCCATCCAGCCTCCTCTGAGGGCCGAAGATGAGGGGGAAGGAATCCTCTCCAAGAGAGAAGCCGGTTTCTTTGAGCAGCTCATCGACCACAATGATCCGTCTCTTGGGACCTTCCAGCAGAGATACTGGTGGAACTCCACCTACTGGGAGGGACCTGGTTCTCCGGTACTGCTTGTCGAGTCAAATGTTGTAGCTATTATACTGACTACGGGACCCTAGGTGGTGTTTTTCACGCCTGGAGAATCTGAGGCTGCCCCGTACACCGGATACCTCACAGATCGGGCCATCACAGGAGCCATTGCAAAGGCAATTGGCGGTGCCATCGTCATGGTTGAGCGTATGGAACATGCCACAAACACTCAAGTAGAGCCAAGAAAACTGACGAGGCCCAGACCGTAACTGGGGAACCTCCCTGCCGTACGCGGTCCAAGATACCAAGAACCTCCAGCAGCACACTATGACGAATGCCGTCCTCGACTTTGCCAACCTCGCCCGCAACGTCCAGCTGCCTTTCGACAAGAACGGCAGCAGCAACGCCCCCCAAGCTGTGAGTATCAAGGCCGGATCCTTGTCGAGTAAACCGACAGAACTGACAACCAGCAGCCCTGGGTCTACACCGGCGGTTCATACTCTGGTGTTCTGGCCGCAGCCATCGCGAAACTCGCTCCGGGAACCTTCTGGGCCTACCACTCCAGCAGTGGCCCGGTCGAAGCGACCTATGACTACTGGAGCTACTTCCTACCCATGCAGAACGGCATGCCCAAGAACTGCAGTCGTGACTTTGAGCGGATCGTCGACCACGTCGACAACGTCCTGCTCACCGGCAGCGATGACGAGATCTACTCCCTGAAGAAGAAGTTTGGCCTCCAGGACCTGGCTCACAAGGAGGACTTTGCCTCGTAAGTTGAAGCCGTGGTTGTATCGGAGACTTTGAATCCGATTCTCACATCTATGATGTTTGTAGTGCTCTCGTCGGACCCCTTGGCTACTGGCAGTCCATCCAGCTGTACTCGGGATACTCCGCCTTTTACGAAATGTGCGATACCGTTCAAGGCGCTATTGGTAACTTCTCGGCACCCAACACGACCTACAGCGCAGACGGCGTCGGTCTTACAAAGGCTCTGAACAACTACGCCAACTGGTGGAGTACAAACTATCTCCCGGGAAGTAAGCAGTCGACCCCATGAACTCTGTGTGTCTTATCAGTAACTGACCTTGCGTAGCTTGCGCATCCTACAACATCGAGGAGTGGTCAGACCCCATGAACGTCGCCTGCTTCGACAGCTTCAACGCCACGAGCCCGATCTACACCGACTGGAGCGCCGAGAACCCGTTCGGTCGGACGTGGTACTGGATGACGTGCAACGAGCCCTTCTTCTACTGGCAGACGTACGTTTACAGCTCAGTGATACCCGTCGAAGTGTAAGAGAGCTTCAGAACTAAATGTGAATAGCGGTGCTCCCAAGGATCGTCCCTCAATCGTCTCGCGCTTCGTTACGCCGGAGTACTACCAGAGCCAATGCGACCTCTTCTTCCCCAAGCAAGGCGAGTTCACCTACGCCTCCAACGCAGGCAAGACCGCCGCAGACCTGAACAAGGCGACGGACGGCTGGTTCTTCACCAACACAACGCGCCTCATGTGGTCCAACGGGTAAGTCGTTCAATCGGACCTCGGAGTTAAGAAAAGCGTGACTGACGTTTCCATAGCGAGTTCGACCCCTGGCGTTCAGCCTCCGTGTCCAGCGAGCTCCGTCCCGGCGGCCCGCTCAAGTCTCGCCCTGGTGCTCCGGTCCACCTCATCCCGGGATCCCGCCACTGCAATGATTTGCTCGTCAGAAACGGCGCTGTCAATGAGGATATGCAGGAGGTTATCACTGCTGAGGTTGATCAGATGAAGGCTTGGGTTGATACATTCTATGCCTCCAAGGGCAAGTACAGACGCCGCTCGACACGCTCTTTGTGAAGAGGGCCATATAGCATTGCGGTGCACTCAAAGAATACTCCGTATCTTTGAGGGCCATACCGATCTTTGACTACATGTAGATACTAGTAACTTGCCAATTCAAACACAAGCTTGATTCAAGTCTGCTCTGTTTACCATCCTAGCGTCAACTACCGTTTCAAGTAACGCTTTGTCCACGCAAAATTGAACGTTGTTCTCGTCGCTACCTTTTGTAAAGCTGTCACCCATAACGTCAATTCGGCGTCCAATTTGCTTTCACTGCCTTCTCGAGGATCGGTCCATCCAGGTCCACTCAAGTAGAGAGGCGACAGGAAAGCATGCCGGCCGGCCCCCGGAATTTTGTAACCCCTTTTCGAGGCGTCGCCAAGGCATATTGACCAAGGAATAGACAGAGAGTGGGGGATAAAGTTGAGGTAATGTCATCGATGATAGCAGCAGTGCGTACCTAAGTAAAAATGAGACAGGTAGGGAAACTTTCAAGTTTTCTCTTCAAGACAGCAGTCAAGTATGGATTCAAAAGACATTGAGTCAACTTGGTGACCACCGAGACGAAGAATTCAACGCTGAGTCTATCATCAACACTCAGTTATCATCCGCATCATTAAAGCCGAAATAGCGGGCTTCGCAGCAAAGGCAAACGTGAATAAAGCAGGTCTTAACATTCTATGAAACTAGAAAGCTAGACTAAAGTTCTATGGGCACTCATACTATCTAATGCGCCTTATGTCATCAGACTCTTCCTCCGAAGAGGCCGAGACTTTTTCGTAATTCAGGCTAATAGCGACGTTTACCAAGGCAGATCAGTGCCATCGTGGTTCTTGAACGAGCCACTAATCTCTCTGGTAGCCTTGTCAATGGTAGCAACCATATCATCCACACTCTTCTTGACAGGAATGGCACCGAAAGCACTGAGGTCAGTGCCAGCCTTGGCCGCCAAACCAGCAGCCATGTCCGTCTCGACCAGACCAGGGTGGAAGACAAAGGCAGTCAACCACGGCTCCTCGAAGTGCAACCGGCGCACAAACCAGTTGAGCGCGGCCTTTGACGCGCCGTACGGGCTCGCGGGGCTGGGGATCTGGGAAATCGTCTCGGCGAGGCCGTTGCTGCCAATTGCGGAGGAAATCGCCACAAAGATGGGGTTCTTGGACTTGCTCTCCTTGAGCAGGGGCTTGGTGGCGCCGAAGAGGACGAGAGGCGCGACCGAGTTGACCGCGAAGTGGTCCAAAGCGACTTTGGTGGAGGTGGCGGCGATGTCGGCCGAGGTGTGGGAGATGCCGGCGTTGGCGATGACTACGTCGAGGGCGGTGATGCCGTGCTCCTTTTGGATTGTTGCTACGGCGGCGACGGGGTCGGACTCGATAGAGGAGTCGATCTTGACGACGATGATTTTGGAGCCTTCGGCCTTGGGGAGGTCGTAGAGGGCCTTTGAGGCTGCGGCGGCCGGGTCGCGGACGCCGACGATGATTGTTGTGGAGGGACGCTGGAGGAGGAGGGTGGTGAATCCCTTTCCGATTCCGCGGTTGGCACCGGTGATGAGATAAGTGAGTCCGGAAGATATATTGGAGGTTAAGTTAATAAAAAGAGAAGTGCTGTAGTTGTAGTTGAGTTAGTCGATGTTGAGATGGAGGCTGTTGAAGTTGAGGTTATTGAGGATTCACTCAAACAGCAGAACCAAGCCAAAGAAGACATCTTAAATAACTTTTGTAGATTCATCTTTTGAGTTGACACGTTCATAGATTCTGATGAACTGACAAATGCAGCATCGCATCTCGTGCTTGCACGCCTTGCGGAGTAGCCTATTTTCGAAGGTAATCGAACTGCTGCAGAACACCACCTCTTGGATTCTGCATGCAATTGCGGGGCCGAGCATAGCGTCTGAACAGATTGATAATCATAGTTCGGATGGACTGCAGTTTTGGGAACGGCAGAGTTCCTGTCGCAGTATCAAAAGTCTGGGCGGATATGCTGTTCACTAATCCAGAAACAAGACGACGAGCTATGTATGGGGTTGGGATTAGTCGTCCGCGCCGCCAGATATGCGGGCTTAGCGCTCGCCTGCATCATTACAAAGCTTGAGGCTATATTAAGAGTCTGTTCAATTAGTTATCATTAATACTCGTTTGAAAGGCTCACGGTCTCTTGCGGAACGTTGCGGGCTTTGTCTTTCTGATAAGTTTATCTGTGGCTGGGCAAATAAGTAGCCACGGCTTTCTGATTTACTTTCTCGAAGACTCGAGAATCAAAGCACATCGTAATATCTGTCGCTGAAGATAGAATTGCGATGCTAGAAATTAGTGAGGTAATCGAAGTGAAGACACTACAAGGCAAGGAACTCTAGACTTGGCATTGCTCCTGATTACTCAGAATAGAGGCACAGCCAGTCAATTTCATACAAATTCACCTAGCGACGAAGTGTCAACTGTACACATCCAATAATAGTTCGTATGTATGATATACAGAACGGCAAATTGGGGTCGAACTAACTCCAATTCCGACCTCTACCAATTTTGGAAGTCTTGAAAATGGGGGCAAATTTACAGGTACAGAGATGGATTTACTTTCCTTGCTTCTCACCAAGCAAGACGGTGAGTTTACTGGCTCAGCCGCAGAAGGATCTGCGTCACTTCATGTCGTTAATGGCAAGCATTGTCATCATAGCAAGAGTAATCCAATTACACAACATGTCATTGGTTGCGCTTTCGGTAATCTAGAAGGACAATGAAACATTGGGATGTTCAGACGAGTACAAAAGCATCACTGACGTCCGTTTCAAGATTCAAGAGTTGGGTGTATATTTTGGAATCGCATTCTCGTGCGTCGAAAAATCTTCATCCGATTCAATACAATCAAATTGATCATGGATGCTGAATCTTGAATGTTCGACTAGAACAAGTAGGTCTCAAGATGACTTAGGTCTAATGTCTTGATGGCCGCCTCTTTCCAAGATATTACTCGTGGGATGCTGAGTAACTGAGTTCGTGCTGCGCTACAGCACCTGTTCTTTCGTTCACCTTGCCCTACCTATCAAGAAGCTGGCCTTCTTGGCTGAGGCTCCGAGCTCCCTCAAAACATCTTAAAGCGGGTGATCCCAAGTCTATCAGAATAGCTTGGAAGTTGGAAGCGTAAGCTGTGAGCATTGGTAAGCTGTATCAAGGCATCGCCCATTGCTAAAGATTAGTGATCAACCCACGCCGCATCCCTCAGCCCCGCCATTCCTTCAATTTACGTTCACTAATCACCCTCTCTTGGTCATTAATAAGTTCAGACGGTATTCTGCCTCAGATTGCGCAGAAAATCTGCTCGTAGTACCCAGCAATGACTTCATGGCAAGGCAGGGCCAGAACTTCTAATCAGTATATCGAACGGGCTTTGCATGCTATAGTAGGGTATATATGGCGTTGATTGCTGCCTGCAATCAACGGTGTCATTTTTGCAAAATATGCTCGATCACCTCATTGCTGGCGAATGTGGTAACATCAATGTGCAGCTCTCTTCTATCGATGTGCCATCTCAAGTCCACTTCTGGTCAACCAGCCGCACGCACAATACCGCAGCCCCCGCGGCACAACACCCGAACAACATCATCTGAAGTCCTTCCCACAGACATCGTATCCGTGATGTCTTCCCATCACTCAATAACCAGCACTTCCCGGCCCCAAAGATGAACAAGGCAATGAGACAGACGATGATGCTCCACAGAAGCCCGTGACCCACGTTCGAGGCGAAGAAGTATGGCAGCAGGGGCATCATCCCGCCACAAAGATATCCGATAGCGATTGACAGACCAGAAAAGATTGGTGATACCAGCAGATGGCTCTTGTCGACGTTGTCAATTTCAACAAAAGCGCCGGGTCGCTTAGCTTGCGTGCTGTTGAATCTTTCGGAAACCCAGCTCAACCCTCCCGACTGAGCCCTCACGGCCCCAATCACCATCGTGACAGTTGTCTCGGGTAAGCCCAGTGGTTGAAGGTACCGCAGCACTGCTTCCTCTTCGTCTACCACCCCGCTTGTTTGGCACTTCTCATCGTCGATTTCGTCCTCGCTGTGTCTCTCTGCCGACGACAACATCCCTTGTTCCTCCTCATCCACAGGCGAGAGCGGTGATATCCGGGAGGTATCAGGTGAAGAGTCTCGCGCGGCCAGATAACCCCCAATTCCCATGCTGATACATCCCGCGCATAGTTCCGCAAGGCCGGCGTAGATGACCGTCTCGCTGCGGCCGAGGGAGCTGAGGCCGGCGGTCAAGGCGAATGGTACTGTGAGGCCATCTGAGAAGCCAAGCGTGAAGTCTGAGAGGAAACGAGAAAGCTTGGGAGAGACCATCGCTCAAGGGCGTCCGTGTTCCGCGATTTGAAGGATTCCTTTGAGCGTGGGGCTCACCACGGGACAATTTGAAGGGGAGCTCGTCTCACTGAATCGAGTTTGCTCGCAAAGGTGAAGTAGGTATACTGAATATGATGCTTTGAGTCAAACAAAATGAGAGTTCAAGGCAATTTCGCATCGAACTCCGGCGATCAAAGCAAAAGTCTGGAGACTCAAAATGAGAAAGTTCAATTTGCAGACAAATGGGAGAAAAATCCTGGCAATGATACACCGGCACGGGATGGTCTGCATTTTGCCCCCTACACGACTTAATCTCCAATTCATTCACGGTTCTGTCCACGAGCCGTTTCTGCGCTTCTAAGTGGACGATACAGCATATCCACAACACAACCAAAAAGTCGGCTTAGAGATGCCGTGATACCCAAACGTTTCCTCGAGTGGAGAAATAGTCGGCATCGAAGTCGAAGAGGGGTGTGGGGGAGCAAGAAACATCTGTCAAGACACAAGCTTTCGCCCAGAGGCGATGCCAAGAGCGACCACGTGTGTGGAGTCCGGAGAATATGACCCCTCAATCTTCGGCCAATGGTTCGAGATGAATTTTTCACCTTCCCGACCAGGAAGGACATTTTGAGCTCCTAATGCAGGGATAGCCGTTGACGATCCCTTCTCCACCCGATGCCTCCCCTGCTCGGCCCGTTGTCAAACCCCATTCTCGTGGAACGACTTGTCCACATCACGAGAGCTAATTCTGCATGCAGTGTACTATCCAGGTGACGAATTCGAGAGACTGAGTCGTTGATCTTGCCCGGTCAAGTCCGATGCCATTCTCGTTGCCCCCCGCTCTGAGCGGCTTTGTTATCGGTACCTCTAGTACTGTCGCGCCTCTTGCTTCTGTCGCTCTATCTGCCTCTGACGTCTCTGTAGTCTATTATCTTGTATGAATGTGCGTATATTCGAGAATGTATGCTTGAGAGAATGACAATAGAGGTAATAACAAAGGGTAAAAAATAAACGAAGTATTATAAAAAAATTCAAAAGGTTATAAGAGATAACACGCTATAGAAAGGCTTCTAATCAAAAATATGCTTTACAGGACCTAAATATTTAGACTTTATCTATGTTATATTTTTATTATCTAGGGGATATATACTGATAGTTATAATAACAAAGGTTATTATCACAATGTTAGTATCTCCTAGGTGCTTTGTCCCGAGACTTTACGCCTTGTAGCCAGGAGGCGGGTTAAGCCCATCCAGAACCTGAACAGTATCCTCGTAGTATGTAGGCGCTTTGCTGTCTTTCCAGGTAGCCTTGACGGACTCGAGAATCTTCCTGCCAGCCGCATTCTCGTCCAGAGCCAAGTTGGGCTTGGGATACTGCTTTGCCGTTTTGCTATTGAAGAAACCAGCATACGACTGATTAAAGTAGCGATCGGGCACCGTAGACGTGTTGCTCCACTGGCGAAGGACGCTCTTGGTCTTTTCTGCGACAAACTTGTAGACGTTGGCGCCGACATCCCATCTGCCGAGAGTCGGGAGGTCCCAGTTGGCCTCAACTGTGGCGAGCTCCGAATAATGGTTGTAGAAGTTGGAATCCGTAGTACCAACGAGCTCTTGAGGGATTGCATCTCCTAAAAGGATGCCAAGAATTCGGTTCTTTTGTGTGTACGTCTCATTTTCATCCCATGTGACCAACACCAATGTGTTGTTCATGAAGTTCTTGTCTTCGAGCAGCGGCTCAAGGAATTTCCGATTCCAAGCACCAGAAACAGTGACAGAGGAATCGTGACCAGTGTTTACCATCGAGGGTTCTACCCAAATCCATTGCGGCAGCTTGTTCGCCTTGAGGTCCTTGTGAAATGAAGAACGCTCGGGATAGATCACAGATAGGTTCTTGATCTGGGAGAGACGCTGCTCCGAACTGGTAACACTATCAAAGAAGATTGGAGGATTATGCTTTCGAACATAATCGTTTGCTCCAGTCGTCTGATTTACCCAGGCCATTCCTTCGAAGCCAGAGAATGGTAAGTCTTCCTGATAGGTCGACCACGAGATCCCTCGTGTGTCCAGGAGATCAAACACTGTAGAAACATTGCGATCGGCGCGATTGAAGTTATCGTTGTTCATTCCCAAATAATCTCCAGAGACCGATGCAAAGTAATTGGGCTCAGAAGGGTGGGTGACAGCAAAGTTGTTAGACAGTGTGATGCCCTTCTTGGCGAGCCATGCAAAGTTGGCTGTGGCAGGTCAGATTCTGCTGGGACAAAGGGCTCAAAGAAGCACTCACGATCGCCAATAGCCTTGTCGTAATCGGTATTCTCGTTCCAGATAATGACAAAGCGGTCGAAAGCCTTGCCTTTGACATTGCTGGTCGGGCTGCTGGTCTTGGCTGTGGCAGCAGCAGCAGCGACAGCAGCGGAGCCGGTGGCAGTGTACCGCGTCTCCCAGCCTCCAGAAGAACTTGAAGAAGTCACTCGAGCAGCGAGAGGCGTGACGGCAGCCGCATGGGCGCCGGCCGCAAGGAAAGCTGCGGCAACTGCGCAACGCATCGTGGAGGATGATGAAGCTGAAAAGACCTTCTGACGAGCGGTTGTAAGAACGGCGTGGTAAGCACAAAAAGAAGCTAAGAGCCTCAAAGCCGGGACGACTTGATTATTTCATGTTTTCTATGATTTGCTGTCGGGCACCTCCGTGTCGGTGACTCTGTAGCATCGGGACGAGGAATGGGGAAGGTCACATCCCTGACAGGCTGACAGCATCGCCACCCCTGCGCACGGGAACGCTCGTCGATCCATTAAACGAACAGATGGATGGGACGAAAAAAAGCAGCCTGTCAGTACTTTTCGATCTAGTGGATGGCATTGAGTCCTTTTCCCCTCAGTCGACTTGGACTGTCCGAACTCCAATTGCAGACGCAGGTTGTCAAAATGTGAGGTCTGATTGGGCCATTTCGAGCGCACGTGTAAGAGGACAGGCATGCCGGCTTCCCGAGAGGGCGGCAACGCGCGGGCAGAAACAAAACAGAATGCAACGCCACCCCATTTTCCGAAAACTTACCTGCCTTGAACGGCAGTTCGGCTCGTGAGCGGCATCTTATTCGCATTTCCAACCTCTGGTCTGGATTTGAGCCTCTCCTTCACTTGTATTCCGTTCGTTCATTACGATGCAATGAGATTCGCACCATGGACGACGTTGAGCGAGGAAGCGACCAAGAGAGGCTTTTGAGTCCGGCTCTGACGATCTCCACCGACTTCAACTTGGACCGTCTGGAGTCTTCGTCTTATGGTTCGGCTGCGAAGGACAACGGCGAGAAATCGCCATTTCTTCCTCCGCAAGATGATGAAGGGAGACCGCAACGGTCGAGGAGTCGATCGGATGGCTCCTGGCTGAGTCGAGTCTCTACAGGCTTCTTTGGCGTTTTCATATTCTTCTTCGTTTTCTATGCGTCAGACCTGCTTTACCCAGCGACTGTAACACATCATTCTCAAACGGCAGTCTATGTGGTCAAAGAGCCGATACCATCATCGCCACGATTGAGGGACTCGTCGGAATATTTTCTGGGCTCTTCGTGGGACTTCAACGCCGCGCCAAGCATCAGAGAGTACTACTGGACCATCAGCGATGCAACCTTCAACCCTGACGGGATCTTTCGGCCGATGATGCTCATCAACAACCAGTTTCCCGGACCTCTCATTGAGTGCAACGAGGGAGATACCATCGTTGTCCATGTCCACAACGAGGCCGTCAATGCCACAGCCATTCATTTTCACGGCATGTATCAAAACGGCACAAACTCCATGGACGGCACCGTTGGCGTGACGCAATGCCCTATTGCACCCAACGCAACGTTCACGTACAGGTTCACGGTCAAGAACCAGTCAGGAACGTATTGGCATCACGCGCATCACAGCAACCAAGCCTCTGATGGACTCGTCGGGCCTCTCGTCGTCCACCCGAGAAACAACCAAGGAACCAGAGACCAGTACTCGACTGATCGAGTCGTCATGATTTCGGACCACTATCACAACACATCGGCTGAGTTGTTGATGGACTATCTTCAATCAGACCAAGAGAATGAAGAGCCTGTGCCGTCGAGTGGCCTCATCAACGGGCGCAACTACCGCGATTGTGCCGACTTCGACGGATGGAATTGCCAAAACGAGAATCCTCGTGTATCTTCGTTGGAATCCTTCAGCCTGGCTCCAAATGAGAGACATCGCCTAAGGTTCATAAACACTGGTGCATTTGCCGAATTCCAGGTCGAAATCGACGAGCATCCGCTCTACGTCACCGAGGTTGATGGGACTGATATTCACCCTGAACCCTTCCACCGCCTCAATATCCTTCCGGCACAGCGCTACAGTGTGGTAGTTGAGACCAATATCACCACTGCAGACTCGTTCTGGTTGCGAGCCAGGATGATCACGCACTGCTTCGCAGGAGAGAACCCCCGGCTCGATTCAGAAGTGAAGGGGATCATCCGGTATGCCACACCAGACCTCTCTCGCAAAGAGAAGACGCATGAAGCGGCCTTAGAACTCAGCGAACCACAAAGCAAAAGCTGGGACGAAGCCATAGACGTCGACTGTCGAGACATGAACACAACTCTTCTCAGACCTGTCGATGCGATTACAGCACCCATTGTGACAGCCACAATGTACCTCCGCGCCAACTTTGAAATCGGAGCATGGCGTCTATCGCGGGGCTTCTTCAACGCCTCGACGTGGCATGCCAACGTCACCTCGCCGTCTCTGTATCGCTTCATGGACGCCGCGAAAAGCGACAATGACACAGTGTTGCCGTCTACAACCGGTGTCAACGATATTACCTTCAATCCAGAGAATGAGTTCGTGTACCAGACGCAAGGCATCCAAACGGTCAACATCATCATCAGCAACTTTGATGACGGCGCACATCCGTTCCATATCCACGGGCACAAGTTCTTCGTACTGAAGCAGTCCCCAACGGGTTACCCACCCGAAGACATGGCCGAGTTGGAAGCAGAACTCGCGGCTTCGGGTGTTCTGGAGAACCCGCTCAGAAGGGACACCGTAACAGTTCAAGGTTACGGGTGGGCAGTCGTCAGAGTCGTGCTAGATAATCCGGGCGTGTGGGCGTTCCACTGCCACAACGCATGGCATGCGGAGGCGGGCATGATGATGATGATTGCAGCGAGAGTCGAGACGGCCAAAGAATGGAAGGTGGTGAGCGAGGAGGAAGTACGGCTCTGCGGGTTGCCTGGGGTCGAGAAAGGGGTTCGGCCTAGTGATGACGTTTGGTTCGGGAACTTTGGTTGAAAGAGTAAATACGAGATTCTGTAAATAGAGGGTTAGTAAGTGCTACTGCTCGGAGAGCAGTCTTTCCCAAAAAGAGAATGAGAGCTTCAGCGGACAATTGGAACCCGCTCCCCGTGATAATTACACCGCCTCTAACGGTCCAACCCCCGGGGAAATTGTTGAGTGCATACGCTCCATCTGTTTCCGTCCTGTAATGAATCAGAAATCAGCTGTTGTGGGATCCATCCATCAGTCAGGTCTGGTCTCTACTAAGTCCGTCGGCGAAATACTAACGGCTAGAGTACCCTTGTCAACCCGTTTGTTGTCAAGCCCCCCGTGGGCAAGGCGTTGTGGTCCTCGGCATTATCCCTTGCTCATTGGAGCTGCGATCCACCACAGGTTTCCATCGCCTTTCACTTCTCCGCGTATGTATGGAGCTATGTCTTTTGCAAAAGAAAGTTGCTGACATCTACCGGTCGAGTACCGAGACATTGTGTCAAAGAATGACAAGACAGCTTCGATAGTACCGGCAGTTCCGAAGCTCCTTCCTTTCACAGATACGATGGCTTCATGCCTCTGGGGCATCGACTCATGACGGAGAGTGCGCTGGATGCACTTCGCACTAGAAAAGGAGTTGCTTGCTCGAAAGTTGAATTTGACCCGACGATCTAGACCGCTGAGAGTCTAGAGGTTCTCAGCAAGCTAGTCTGCTTGTAGTTGCTTGAACAGGGGTCACATCGAATATTGCAAGAGATTGGAAAATAGGCAAACGGGTCCCGTACTAACTCGATCGGATACCGGATTCCGCAGTACCCATCATCCGGTCTCCCATGAGTGCACGTGTGCTGTATCAGCCGTGTGGTCCCATAATCCCATTTGCCATGATGCCCATTTCTCGCCAGGCTCCGCAATGGGAGGCGAAGTTATGGGCCTCTTAATCCTTCTTTCTGCAGTTCTGCGACGAATTGGCTGTAGTGTTGTTGGAACTTCCATGTTCGTGCCTTTTCTGCCAATCTGTGATCGTCACTTTTCGGTCCGTTGTAAAATTCTCAAAGTCAAAAAAAGGAGTGGTGTACAGAGTAGTATGGAATTGACAGAGAGTTCCAGTTTTCTGATGTAAAAAGTCCCGTTGAAACAAGAGACAACTGATGCGTCGCATTGAGTCGGAAATAAAGAGCAATTGGACGGTCGTGCCCCAGTTTATCGCACTCTGTTGGTAGGTTGGTCCTATCTTTCTTCACCCACCTGCATACATCTCAGTGCCGAGTTCCATATTATTTTTGGGGTAAACGATTCCAGCTAGATAGGACGCGCGCCCCATCAACTCATCTTTAGGATGGAGCCGCTGAAGCATCTAGATGGACGTTGTCTTGCCTGTAGAGAATTGTGCCGCTTGCCGACTATTCAAGAGTCATGTCGATGTCATGTTTGCTGTTGAATGATGATGAGCGGCTGAGACTTGAGGGTGCCATGTAGAGAGAGAGAACCGGCAAGTCGGACGGAAAAACCAAACATGATGCGACGTTGAAATTGGAGATTCAGAGTTTTGACTGGTGCAAATTCAAGGACTGTCAACTCCCTAGCTGCCGTTCAGATGACTTGTGTTTCATCCGCCATCCAACATGGTCAACACGAAGAAAGGCGCAAACTCTAATTCCCTTTCAGGATCGTGAGAGGGGTGAAGGAGAAAATCTGCCAAGTCAAAGTGAGTTAAACACCTCCATCAGTTACGTTGCACCGTCAAGCGAAAAGGCGCAAGCAGCCGAAGGTGTCGGATGCTAGACATTTCATGGTCAAGACTCAAATTAGCCCGTCGACGGGGGCCCGGTTCTGGCAATATTCTGCACATTCTGCACGCGTGACGGGCCAGCGCTAACATGACTAGGCCATCTTGAGGAAGTTTGGAGGGCAGCAAAACAGTTGAGGATGGACCCGAAACTCTGAACTTTCCCGCCAATCATGGGCAGAACAGGCAGAAATGTTCCATGGCAGCACCAAATCTCGTGGCATTTGGTAGACGCTCCCCGAAAGTCAATTCTATTGCAACCGACTGCCGTACCGTGATGTGATCAACCCCCCACCCCACTCCCATAAGTCCCTTCAGCTATACGTGTTCGGGAGGCCGTGACCACGACATTACCAACGATTCAACCAAGCTAACCCTGAGGGCACGCAATATCAGTCGAACTCTGTTCAATTTAAAGCTCACATTATCTGACCATAAACTTTCCACCAACCAGCCGCCCTGGTACTGGCATCCCTGGGGAACAATTGGTCCGTTACGCGTCCAGTGCTCCTAGGCAATCCCCCTTTCGCGGCTCCCGTCCCCTCCTCCTTTTGTATGATGCCCCCTAAATGCTGGGAGGTTCGATGTTTACCACAATGGGACGAAAAGCCCCAGTTCAAAAGTTGCGGCTGGAAGAACGGCACGGAACTCGGCAACTTGAGATCCAGGGTTGATACAGCCACCTATTGAATAGAGTGCCTAGATTCGATCGGTGCAAGGGCCGGACGACCCTGCTTCAACAAGCCTTAGCCTTGGCGACGTACGAAAGTAGTCCACAGACGCGGAGCTCATGGTGGCAGTGATGCTTGTCTATGTCAATCGCGGAGATGGCGCTGTTGGGCAGAATCTAGTGCGATTCCAGAAATTCAGGAGTTGTCGGTGGGGTTTGCCTGCCTGCATGGGACTATGACGAGCAAGGGCCATCCCCGGCACTCGCGTTGCTTCTGGCCTGGGGCCCGGTCGAGCTCCATCTTCCATCTAACTGACTCGGCCAGTGTTTCCCTGTTCCCATGATGCGTCCAGACGACTGACTGTGCAGTCGGTACGTGGAACAAGGTATCCGTACGGAAAGGAAGAGAGCAGAGGAGGATGGCAAACAGGAGAAGTTCGTTGACAGGCCTTGGCAAGGCTGTGCCAAGAGATCCCGTCGATTTGGATATAAACCATCCTGCAGTTCCTCCCCAGATTGCCAAGAAGCTTCCAAGACATCACTCCCGCAGATCTCATCCAGTTTACCATTCTAGAGTCTTGGCTCATTCATTCTTTCGTCCTATTTTTTAACCAATCATTCTGATACTGTGTATCAAGTCACTCTCTACTACCAAAACAACTTCCTTCCAACAAAATGGTTTCTTCACTTCTCGCCCTCGGCGCCTTGGCCGCCACTGCTATCGCTGCTCCCCTCGATGCTCGCGCCAGCTGCACCTTCACCGATGCCGCTGCCGCCATCAAGGGCAAGGCTAGCTGCACCAGCATCATCCTCAACGGCATCGTCGTCCCTGCCGGTACCACCCTCGACATGACCGGTCTTAAGTCCGGCACCACTGTAAGTTGAAAGAGTCTCTGGCTACCAAGTGAGTCCTAAGCTGACACCGTACAAGGTCACCTTCCAGGGCAAGACCACCTTCGGCTACAAGGAGTGGGAGGGACCCCTCATCTCCTTCTCCGGTACCAACATCAACATCAACGGTGCCTCTGGCCACTCCATCGACTGCCAGGGTTCCCGCTGGTGGGACTCCAAGGGAAGCAACGGCGGCAAGACCAAGCCCAAGTTCTTCTACGCCCACAGCCTCAAGAGCTCCAACATCAAGGGTCTCAACGTCCTGAACACCCCCGTCCAGGCCTTCTCCATCAACAGCGCCACCACCCTCGGCGTCTACGATGTCACCATTGACAACTCTGCTGGCGACTCCGCCGGCGGCCACAACACCGACGCCTTCGACGTCGGCTCCTCCACCGGCGTCTACATCTCTGGCGCCAACGTCAAGAACCAGGACGACTGCCTCGCCATCAACTCTGGCACCAACATCACCTTCACCGGCGGCACCTGCTCCGGTGGCCACGGTCTGTCCATTGGCTCCGTCGGCGGCCGCTCCGACAACACCGTCAAGACCGTCACCATCTCCAACTCCAAGATCGTCAACTCTGACAACGGTGTCCGCATCAAGACCGTCTCCGGCGCCACTGGTTCCGTCTCCGGCGTCACCTACTCCGGCATCACCCTCTCCAACATTGCCAAGTACGGTATCGTCATCGAGCAGGACTACGAGAACGGCTCCCCCACCGGCACCCCCACCAACGGCGTCCCCATCACCGGCCTCACCCTCTCCAAGATCACCGGCTCCGTCGCCTCCTCCGGTACCAACGTCTACATCCTCTGTGCCTCCGGTGCCTGCAGCAACTGGAAGTGGAGCGGTGTCAGCGTCACCGGTGGCAAGAAGTCCACCAAGTGCTCCAACATCCCCAGCGGCAGCGGTGCTGCTTGCTAAGCGTCTCGCACTTGCGAGGTTTCTCGGCCGCTCTCTCCTGAGTCGGTGATACCCACCTGGTGGTGCTAGTCTCCTTTTCCCTGGTGGGAATGCTGACGCGGATTGTTTTGTGCTGGACTTTCTTGTAATGAGTTGAGTTGTGTCTGCAAATTAGTCAGCCGAGCGCAAATTTGTTCCTGTATATAATTTCCCTTGTCGTTCTCAAGATATCTTGAGGCGAGATACATACGAATCCAACTGCATACTGGATGAACTTCATCATTCCCTTCTTCGTGACTCCAAAATCTTCAAGCTCGCAATTGACCCATGTTCTGCTTTAAGCCTTTGTGCCAAGAAACCAAGAGATAAACGACTGCTCATTTCCACATAAGTTACAGGGATCCCGACATGGCATACTCCTGGACTGTAAAGTGGCCCGGACCCCCGACCCTCATTTCCAACCGAACCACAAAAGGGCCTGGCCACGCGACATTTTTAATCAACACAAAATCAACCCGAAAACAAAGAAAACTGCCCACATGTTCAAAAAAGCAAAAGAGAAACTCCTCGACGGGGAATTGAACCCCGGTCCCCTGCGAATCGTTGGATCTTCAATGACAAGCAGATATCCTCACCACTAGACTATCGGGGATTGGTGGATGTTGACATCCAGTGATAGTTGGTTGACGGAATCCGCCACCAGTGTCTATATAAAGGCTACAGCCCAACCACTCCCACCAACAACCCCTCATGAAGTTGATTTGTCATTGATTTATGGGCAAATGTAAGGCAAACAACTTCAATCCATTGATTGTTTGCTAAAGAGCAGATTTTGCTGACTTTCGAGCCAGCATGCAGACCAAACATTCTTCCTTAGTGTTGCTGCAGCGCGCAACCTCAACATTGATGGCATATTCAGAGGTCATAGCATTGAATCTTCCCTTGGTAAGAAAAAGGAATACTGGCACGTGGTACTTCAAGTCAGACATCGGAAGTCTCCATCAATCGGACTGAGATTTGGATATGAACCAAGCCTGAGACTGAAGTCTTCATGCACAAGTGGTGCAGCCTGCTAGTTTCCATCGATCGACAAGTTCCAAATGCCGAGTTGATACGTCTGACACAATTTTTGGTTCGAGCTAAACAGCAAGCTCGTCGATCGTATTCAAAGTATATACTTTTTCACTTCAGTCTGAATATGTACATGAATTCAAAAGGTTGGACGAGCTCAGTCCTTGCTGCTGCTAGTGACAACAACCCGAAAGGTGCTTAGCAAGTGAACACAGCCGGGCCGGGAATAGTGTAGGTTTGGGCTTCAGAGAAAGTCAAAGGTCAGCAAAGGGTAAGAATCTGCTAGACATGGTAAAACATACCCTTGTAGGCATCGTAGGTGATACCGGGATCAGTCGACTTGTACGCGCCGGGGATGGCAACCAGCGAAGTCGCAGTCTTGGTGCCGGAACCAGTGACCTGCAGTTGATGGCATCCGGGGTAGAACTGTGCGCCGGGGTATGAGTAGGCGGCGTGCAGAGCAATAATCTCGTGGCGGACGAGGTAGTAGCCCGACTTCAAGCAGGACGGAATCGTGTACTGGTAGCCGGCGTTGGCAACCATGAGGGGGGTCTAAGTTGAAACAGAGGTCCGTTACCACTGATCGCTTTGAGAGGCATACACATGTCCAACTTACATCAGCCCAGGTGTTGGTGGTTCCGGTGCGTCCACCTTCCTTGACCTTGAACCACACGGCACTATTTCCCACAGGTTAGCAGGGGTGCTCAGACAGTCATAAAGTATTCTTCTACTTACGAAGTGCCGGGTTGCCATGCCTGGCAACCGGTATCGGGGCAACGTGCCATGTAGGTGATCACGGGACCGACGTGAGAGTCGGGCCAGAGAGTCCATCGCAGGGTGACGGTCGATCCCGCTGCAGCGGTAGCGTGCAAGGCCGCGGGTGTCGAACCCGAGATGCCGCCGGCTGTGTATCCTCCGCACTGGACATCGATCAAGTCGACGCTCTCAACTGGGCCGTTGCCTTGGACCGGGCGAGAGATTCTCTGGGGCTATTGAAGATTTGTGTGAGTTGTGATATCCTCGCATGAGGGATGAAGCTAGAGCTTTGACTTACAGTAGGGCTCGTGTACGGGTCTTGGTAAGGCTAGGTACGTGTCAGTTGTTAGATTCACGATAACACATGCCGTGATTCGATAATATCATATACCTGGTAGAACTGTCGAGACCGTTAGCAATTGTCATCGGTTATACAAAAGTCATGTGTGATGACGAACCTGGTAGTATGTGCCTCCAATGGTAGCATTGTCGACGTATCCGTGACCAGCGACCAGAGCCGCAAGGCCTAGGAAGCAAGCAGCGATCTGCATGTTTCGAATATTTCGGACGAACGTCTGATGGACAAAAGCGAGAGATCGACGGCTGCGACAAAGAGCAAGTTGCGTAACGACTGACACTGCCTGCCTGGAGCTCAGCACTTTAAAGCCGGAAACCTGCTCTTACATGGGAAACACCATGCTATATATCATCAACACCCCAACTCAAAAATCAGTTCATCCTTTCTTCTCCTTTTCGTCTCCAATGGGGACCACTCCTCTCAATCCAAGACACCAAGCCAGTATAGCCAGCCAGCAAACTCCTTGGCACGACGACGTTGCCTCCCCATCCCACCCCCTAGAATCTCATCACGGGAACTAAGAGAACAGCGCAAAAAGGAAACAACGGAACCACACGAGCGAGTGCCACGGCTCGACTTTATTAACTCTGGCAAGGGGCGTTGCCAATGAAAATGGGGAAAACCCGCATCCCACTTTGGAGGCGGGGTTTCCACCAATTAATCAGCCGAGCCATCGTCGCAAGTCAAAACGTCAATGCCACCCGTGTTTTAATTAAAAGGGAACAACGAAGACGAATAAGCAAGGTTGGATCTTGCTACTACGTTGTCGACAGAGCGCAACGAACTTTTGCGCGGGATCCGTGATGCCGTGTGCCGTGGGTTTGGATTGCGGGGGGGATCTGCGGTGTCACCATGCCGGTTCATGATGCTTGTAAATCTGCAGGCAATGCCGAGGAAACAATTTCGTTTCGAAATAATTTCTGAAATAGTTGAAGATGCAAGATTTCCATCCGAAGATGAGTCTTTTGAAGTTCGGGAGATTCGTACGCGTTAAAAAGTCCTTAGAATTTAGGGACACAATTGAGAGGGAGTATGCAATACAGAAATTGGAACGAGTAGATGGTGACCAATACGAGACATAGTTTGTGGCATGAGCTATCAGGAAGCCGAATTGGATAACGCAAGAGTTGCCTCCGTGCCGTTTTTTGGTCATCTCACCTTCTGCCGTTGTCCATGTATTTCTCCCCGAACGGGAATGTGACATCTCGCTCAAGAATAGTCAGAATACAGTAAGCTGAACAGCCACATGACAGTCATTGGCTTTGCCGTCAGTTCAGCTCTAGTTAAAGGGCGTCTGAGTCCGGAGTGTGGCTATCTTACCTACATGTTGACGACGTGTACGGACTGGTGAAATGCTCAACTATTTGCTCTCGTATTTGATAGTGCGTCTGCTTCATCTTCGAAATTCAGCTAGACCTATGATCCATTCTATCACTATTACTTTGAGAATTTGGTACTCAGAAATTCGAATGTGATGGTGTGAGCAACGCAAATATTTACCATTGAACTACCACTGATAGTCGACTTCTTGCAGCCATGTGAGTACTCTAGAAATGTGTATCTCATGCTGTAAAGTAACCCCGACAGGGAACCTCTCTTTGACGTAGGGTAGTTCTTGTCCAGAGACATTATGCACGAGCCTCGGAGCCTCGGGTCTCACCATCTGCTCATCCATCTTTTTCTCACCTCTGCATCTTCAAGATCCGATTTGTTGCTATGCGAACATGTAACCGGTTTTCGTCACGATTTAATTCCCAGAAAATTGTATTGCTTTCACGACAAATTGGAAATTCGTCATGCTTTGACGACATGAATGGAATGAGATGCCAAACCCCAATGGTTCACGTTGTTAAGTCTGGCAGCTGATTAAGTACCTTATCGCCTTCGGCACGATTAATCCACATAACGCTTTACTCGGGAAGGTTTGCATGTTCAGTTTCTGAAGGAAACCCTGAATGGATCTCAATTCTCTTCTTTCAGTCGGGACCTCCTCCTTCCGCTCCTTTTATTGATAATGACGGAGAATGATTCCTCCGAGCGCTGTCACTGCCGCATTCCACATCTAGACTGCGGTAGGTCAATCTGCCGGTCAATAACGAGCAGTGAACAAGACAGAATAGCGTGCCCCTTCGACTTCCTTTGAAGAGATGGGAAGAGACAAGAACGTCAGACTTGCCGGTACGACGCAGGGTGAAGTCCATCGAACGTGCCGGCTTTGGAGGACGAGTAACGTGATCTGGTCAAAGTGATGGAAGATGAGGAGCTGATTTCCATGACCTTCGGTCTACCGAAAATGGTCAGCAAGTGGAGATTGCTCAGGATCTCGATCCGGATTGCACGCGTCTGGTTCAGTGAGGAATTGCAGGGGCCTTGGAACTACCTAGGTACGGCAGGGACGGATTGTGAGTAAGTTATTCCGTCGTTACTTTCGACTTCATTACCGTGCAAATCGCGAGGATGATCGTTGTAGTAGTCAGAAGCTAACTAGCGCCTGAAGAGC